TATACGGTCTGTGGTTTGATCATAGTTTAGAATCTCCATGGTGACAAGCAGGTGACTGACACTTCATCCAAAAAGTTACATACTGCATCTTTAACACAAGAGAAGTGAGTAGTTTTGTTGTTTGGCTGGATGATGAGATAAAGACTTACCATACTACTTTTCTGTGCTCAAACAAAGATACTTTCTGCCACCCACTCCTCCTATTGGTCTGCCACCACCATGCTGATGGCAGGTGGATATACCCAATCACAGTAAAAACTTTCAGAAGCTGCAGATGGCTTAAATAATCTCTGGAGGAAAAATAATAATAATAATAATAAATAAATAAATCATAAAAAAATAAGTGCACATAGATTATGACAGAATAATAGATTGATATATTATAACCTGTCATTTTAATGTAGGGCTGGGCAATATGTTTTTTTCCTGCTCAGATTGATAATTTTTATTTTATTTTGTTTTGTTTTGATTTAAAATAAACAAATGAATAAACAATAGACTTTTAATCATTGCTATTTAACACAACACTTCAACACTTCAAAGTCTGAACTTTGCTCCAAACTGCTTACTTTTACTGATATCATGGACTGCTGCTTAAAAATGGCCAATGTCCAACTAGAAGTGACTTGAACAATAAAATTCTTTATACTGTTCTTTTCTGACAGATGTCCATCACATTGAGTAACTAAAGTTTGGAGCTCCTGTCCTCCATCTGCCAGACCGTGCTGTTTCAGGGGAACACACAGAACTCTCATTATACCACATTGTGTAAAATAAACCCACTGGGCTACAGGATGCAAAAAAGCTACAGATCATGTGTACACCAGCGCAGACTGTTATACAACACCGGACTTGTGCTGACTCTGCAACTGTAGAAACAAGTCAATAATGTATGATATTTAAACAGTCTGCTGAGGGAAGGCTAACAATAGGACTAATTCAATGCACAGTTGGTGTTGCTGAACTTTTAAAATATATATTTTATGTACCGCCTTATATTAAAGGTGCACCATGTGACTTTTCTAGAGGGGTCTTTTTGGCCTTATGGAAATGTTTTTTTTTCCTTGCATAGAATGTTCCACAATATGCCATTAAACATATCTCCCTTCCTTTATTTATATGCAGGTGTTTTTATTGCAATCTGATTTCCCCTATCAACCCAAAACATGCACAACACATACAATGCTCCAGCAAAGGTAGCCCTGACCAAGCCTAGCAACAAGATCACAGTGATGGGTCCCCATGCCCACAGCTCCTGATGAGGTGCCCCAGTGGCATTGAAGGATGGGTCAAATGCAGAGGACAAATTTCCACTACGGGGACAATAAAGTGGATCTCAACATAAACTGTGTCATTGTGCTATAAGAAGACTAAGCTTGAACCAGCCCCCAGCACATAGTCAGAACTTAGAAGAAGGCTATAAAACACTACAAAATGATCTTCATCCTTACAAGTAGTCTGTAAGTTTAAGGAAAATAACATACAGAAATAGTTCAGATGTTCTACACCTTATAAAATGTTTCTCATAATAATAATTCACCTAAGCAGTTTCTTAAGTGAAGTTAGGTGTTTTAAATGGGAGAATGCATGTTTTAATTGTAAATGAATGTATATTTGGATGTATTTTGTTCCCGGGGACTGCAGATGGACACTATCTTTGGCATCTCTTCTTTTATGAGATTTATGTGATTACACATGGTCTTTGTTAAAATAAACTTATTAAGATGATAATATCAAGCTCACAGTCTACATTCTGCTGTGCTGCTGATTGCACAGCACAAACAACAAAAAGTTCAGTTAAGTAAATACTGTATTTCCAGCACTTACACTTTAGTTTTCAAAATTAGCAAGAAATGCATCTTGCATTTGATTGCCTTATATGATTGGTAAAGTAGAAGTTAGACTGAAATCTAAACACACTACTGCCCAGCCTAGTGTGCGGGAGCTGTCCCTTGGTCGCGTGGTGCTGAAATCTGTTTGTGCTTCTTGAGTGAAGCTACGTTAGTGTGGCAGCTAAGTGAATACAAAACTCCACTGATACAGCCGATTCTACCATAAAGTCCACTTAATAATACACTAACCTGCAGCGGATGTTCCTATCTGCTCCATGTGGGACTCCAGAACGGCAGGGTCTCGGGAACTGTACGCGCCGAGCTCCGGATAGAAGCTAGACCCTATGTCCTCAGGAGGCATATGTCTTCCTCTGGGATAACTGGCCGCGATTTTGGGGTCCCAATGCGGCACGAGGATGTGGTCCCAGTGGATATACTTTCCGTCCATCTGTGGTGCCCCGTACCAAGTGCTGTAAAATATATGGACATCATAGAACACGACGCCGTCTGGACCGGAGTTTGACAACGCCGCTTTGGTGTTTAGGGCTTGGGGTTGACCTGGAGGTGCAGCCGGTAAAGTGGGATAACGTGCAACCGAACGCCGGTCCAGCTTGCCTCCTATCAGGGGTAAAAAGTCCAGTCCCGGTGCCAGATCCGAGATGCCATCAGTGGGTTTCAGCGTCCGAAGTCCCATCAAACTCCCGAATATGAAAAGCGCGAAAAGAAACACGGCGATGCACGCTTTTCTGCGCAGACGGGCCATCTCCGGATCAAAACTGCAATTTCAAAACGAGCTATCTGAAGTGACACGTGCCGAGTGGAGTAGTTGCTACATGTTCGCACTCTCCACCTGACGCAGCGCCTCGTCAACTTTCTTCTGCATTCTGCTGAACTGGAGCGCGCACACCCCCTTCTCTGTGTTTGTCTCTCCCAAAGCTGACCACTCTGGTGTGGGATTCCGCTGTGACGCGCCCTGCAGTTAACTACATGTTTTATTTATCTATCAGACAACAACAAGCACCAAAGAAGTCGTGTTTGATTATATTAATTGTCACAATAACTTACTGCTATAAGTGAAGAGAAAGTATTTCATACCACTCAATGACAACAAACTATATCCATCCAGATCCTTTCAGCTTCTCACAGGTGTGACTTCAGAGCGACACTGACCTCTAGTGGCGGTTTTGCAGAGCACAGTGTAGGCTACTACATAATCGATGGCGTTAGAACAGAAAAAAAAGTCATGCATGTAGGCTACTCAGTTTTACTATTATGCATGTAAATCACAGGTATGTATCAGGTAGCCTATTGGTCTGGTTGTTAATCACACATTAAGATAGATTAATATGCCTATTCGCACAAAGCACTCTCTTTGTTAAATTAAAACAGTAATGATCAACTCATCAGAACTTTTTCGTGCGCGGTGTCTGTGTGCCACAAAAGAGACGCGCATTTTACCGCCTGCATTTTATTTACCCCATTGTAAATAATAATATGGCCTTTACTGGCCAATTTGGGTCGTGACAATGTACTCCGCAGCCTACATAGGACAAGGATGATGTGCTGCTCCAGCAGAGGCCGCCTCAACAACCGGCCTAAATCTGTAGCCCTTAAGTGGGATGCATTATATTCACATTTAGTTCACACATTATTTTAATGTATAATAATAATAATAATAATAATAATTTTTTTTTTTTTTTAAAGCGTAGTTTTACGCGCGCATTTCCTGTGTTTTGGCTCATCCATCATCATCTCACAGGCACCAGTCACGCATGTGGACATGTTATAATCAATCACTATCGATCGCTGCGTAAGAACAGCTTGGCTTGTTTTTATCCGCCTCGTGTGCCTTTTTGCGCCTTACGTCCTTTTGTTCTATTCGGGGAAAAAAGACGCTCACACTTGCTTATCCCTGTTGCGCACATGTGAAAAATAAAAAGTACGGCCTTTACCCATATGTAGAAGGCTCAGCACAACACAACACAAACGCTGCTCCAAATTAGGATATAGGCCAGTGCTTAGGGCCAAAATAAAAACACGTTTGCCAATAGTAACACATAGAGTTATGTAATTGGACTTCAAGATTTCGATTAAATTTTGTAGCTTTTTTCTTGATTTAAAAAATGTAGATTTTTTTTTTTATTTATTTATTACTGGATTTAACGAATTGAACTTCATTCATTTTCAATTTGGTAATCTGGTAAACCAAAGTTTGTTGTAATTTCAAGTATCATACAGGCCCAGTTCTTAGATACTACAACTTATTTAGTTTTTTTTTTATTTTGATTTTACTTCTCAACACTCACTTTGATTTACCTACATTTTAACACGTGCCCAAGATTTTTAAGGGCACATCTGGGCCTTTGCATCCTATTACATATGCAGTAGCCATACTTATACCTTGGGGAATATCAAAGTTAATCACGTGGACATGGCCAAGGGAGAGAGAGAGAGTGGACGCAGGGGTTCTTTGGATGAGATTGAGAATTGGTCATTTGTATTGACTAACAGAGCTGACCAGGAGCTGTACATCACCGCGGCGAAAGTGGCTGGCTATCACCATTACCATCATGGCTGAAGGTATGTTCAAGACTTCTCGCGCTTATCTCTGCTTCTCAAGGGGGATGGCTCTCTTCGCATTGTCTTTGTGTTTTTTTGGGGTGGAGAGGATTCTTCTTCAAATTACTAGGTGACCCCCCACCCCGTTCCGATCGCCACCCCTCCTCCTCCTCATTGTTTAGGGGGAAAAGGTTGCCTGCCCCCTTTTGTTTACCTCCCTCTCCCGCTTTCCTTCTTGCTCTGCGGCTTCTGCTTTGTGCCGCATTTTGCATGAAAGTGGCGATCTGGGAGGATTACGCAGCTTGACGGTGCAAAAAAAAAGGATACAGTTGCTCGGGGTGCTGATTTGGACTCAAAGCAGGAGTGAAGACATGGGCTCTGTTTCGAACCAGGAATTCTCAGGTTTGGTAAAAAAAAAAAAAAAAAAAAAAACTGTTTGTCAAAGTTTAATGCGCGTTAGTCAAAGTTCTGCCTAATTGGCCTTTTGAGCACATGGTTTTACGCACAAACTGGTTTAGCGTGCGTGATGCTTTCAAATGCACGGAGACTTCAGCCGCGTTTTTTTTTCAAGACTTGGTTTGTTGTTGCTGAAAAGGGGTCGATACAACATGGCGTGTTGATTTCTTATCGATTTTATGCGTTAACGTTGCATGGCAGAATCCTTTCACTGTTTCTATCAATTAAAACAATACCTTAAGTTACGATGTGTTTTTGTGTGCTTTTGCTTGATTGAAGGAGTTTGCAAAACTGAAGAAGATGAAGGACCGAGCACTGAAGAGGACTCGCAGTCGTTCCACGGGGTTGGAGTGTGCAAGTGGTTTAACGTACGCATGGGCTTTGGCTTCCTGTCCATGACCAACCGAGAGGGAGTGCCACTGGACGAACCGGTTGATGTGTTTGTCCATCAAGTAAGACCACTCAAAACTTTTTTTCTTTTTCTTATTTTTTAACAAAGCCAACTGTGTTTTGCATTGCTTCAGCCTCGTGGGAGTCTCTGTAGTAGCAGCACGTGTTTCAGACTTACCTCGTGGCAATTAACGCTTTTATTAACATTAATTATTTGGCTATAAACAATAATGCTTTCTTAATAAATAACTTGACATACACTTTATATACCATATTTAATTAAATACAGTGCATAATAACTTTTTCGTTTATTATTATTTATTTATTTATTTTTCAAACTCCACCCTTAACTATTAGCAATCTTTAGAGTAGGGTAGGCAATAAAGTAACTTCAAACCCCTCCATTATCTTTCTCTTTTGCTATCCCTAAAACCTATGAGTAATCTTTTAATGACTACATGTCTTGCAATTTTTAGATGAGTTTTTGGCCTTAAATTATTAGTTTTTTGATGAAAAGAAGGTGTAAAGAGATGGGGGCTTCCATTGCTGATGAAGGCTTAGCATGTGAATGGGAAATAGGAGTCCCCACTAGCAACTCTTTCACCTCTAGGTTCCTGTCATAAAGTGATTAAAGGCTTTCCCTGTCTGCCAAGCGCCCGTCTGTGTTTTGTGTGCTATGTTTTAAGCCTAAAAGGGGAACAAGATCCTAGGGTTTATTTTGTTTAAAGCCGTCAAACGATAACTGCACCAGTGAAAGCCCCCAGCTGTAGAGAGATTTGTCTGCTGAAGTTTTTCATCTTTCTAGTGTCATTTGTTTTGGATGTTCTAATGCTCAGTGCTTGAATTGTTGCGCCCACTTTAATTTAACCAAACCTCACGGGTATTACCATGCGTGAGACACTTTGCTCAGTGTTTTGATCCAACAGCAATTCAGTTTGGCATTCCAACATTAAGGGCATGATTCTTTCACCATCATAGCTGTATAAGGAAAGAAAAAATGCACAATTGAATATTTCTGTAGGTAATAAGCTATACTTTCAATAATCAAAGTAAACAAAATTTGTTAAACCAAATGTTGCACATGCAGGATATAATTTTACCAAGTTCCAGGAATATGTAAAATTATTTTGTCACCATGGCTCCCAAATTAGTTTAATCCCATTGGTGTGACCGTGAAGGTAGACATGTGTGATGGATGCTTTGAGGTTATGACCATGTAAAGGGCCTCCAACCTGAAATTAGCGGCCGCGTGTCAAGAAAAATGAACTCCCAGGATCCAGTGGCCTTTGTGCAGGTGGACAAAAGAGCCATGCATCCGAATGAAGCACCCCTCGGCCGTGACCAAGCCCCTCATTGTCCCCTACGGCTCTGATGTCTTTCTCTGCCCACTCCACAGCAGACACATTCTCCCCTCAGCTTACTACAGAGCTTGCTAATAGCTCAGCAGGGGGCTTCTCCAGGGCCCACCTACGTCTTCTACCTGTGAGTGCGCCGTCCTGGGGTGTGCGCATGTGGCCAGTGTGCGTCCGTTATGCTGTGGAAGGGGGGGAGAGGCTGGGGGTCACACATGAGAGAGGAAGTGGGTTAACGGTCATCAATGCACAGGCCTGATGGGAATGGGGCTCACTGAGCATGTTGTCACTCAAACGTCACCACACCAGTTCTGGTAGCTCTCTGCAATGGCTAAAACATTCTTGAATAAGCTGTGGAGTTAGAGCTTTCAAATGACTCTGTTGTTATTTTTTTCTGTTGAGCCAGAGAGTTTAAGTCAAGTTTTAGTTTTAGCTACAAGGTTGTATAAATTCAGCCTCTTGTGAGGAGTCTTCAACTTAAAACATTGTTCAGATTTCTTGTTAATTCATATTTACATTTGCATTAGAAGAAACATGTTCAAAAGTGTATTAGACAAAAGCTCACATCACCACAATTTCAAAACACGACTACTACATCATTGATCTTGTGTCTGTGTCAACACCGCAACAAAAAGTTGTGACAATTTAATCCTGCCACCTTGTCTAAGGGAATTTTGAGCAAGGGATTTCCCAATGATTTGTTTGCCAGTCTACAAAGTTTTATCCTTGAGTCGATGCCACGCCCCTTTTTATCTCTTTTCTTAGCTCTCGGAAGTGTACCTGGCAAAACAAGCCGAGGGGAAGAATTTGAAAGGGTCATTTTAGGTGAAACATGGCTAGTACTGCAAGAGAGAAGAACATGTGGGGCTCAATTACATTAGATAGTTTAATTAGTTTCTTAACCAATAAATTTATGTCAAACATTGGTTTTCCAGCATTTTTATCTTGCCCAAAAACTATCCCAAGAATGTCACCCTGACCCCCTACCTTCCAGAGGAGCCATTCTGCCTTCTCACCCTGCCCCCCAGCCCGAGTGCTAACCCCTGCATCCTGCCCGTTAGGGTTTGTGCTTGCTGCTGGTCACTGTGTTAGTGGAGCTTTGTGATGTGGGTGGGAAGAGTACTGGGGGTGGGGGCTGCAGTGTGGAATGCTGTTCCTCTGGAGGGGGAAGGGTTGAAGGTTATCCTCATCAGGTTTACCGGTCAAACATGGAAAAAAAGACTAAAGCAACATTTATGACCAGTGTCTTTGGCAGGCTTAAGTAAATAAACTCTTCGTGAGGATGAAAAGCGTCACGGTGGTTTCATCTCAGGTGAGGCAGAAAAAGCCTTTAGATACCTGATAAGTCTAATCTGGCCTGATAATGAAGGAAAGACGGGGCTCAAAGGTGAAAGGATCAGCACAGGCTATGAGGACTTGGTATGCCACAACCTAAAATAGGGTTTAGCATGCTACATCCTAAAATCTCATATCATCACAAATCTGTGTGAAATTACTTGTATCAAAGAAATGCACACAATTTCAATAAACAAGTCATCTTTTTTCTCTTCTGTTCTCCTTTTAGAGCAAGTTGCACATGGATGGTTTCCGAAGTCTGAAAGAAGGTGAGGACGTCGAGTTTACCTTCAAGAAGTCCTCAAAGGGCCTCGAGTCTCAGCGAGTCACTGGACCTGGTGGTATCCAATGTGTGGGCAGTGAGAGAAGACCAAAGGGCAAGAAGGTCCAGAAGCGCCGCTCCAAAGGAGACAGGTGAGATGGGACACTCAAACTAATACAAATAGACAGAACAGAGAAAAATAACTCTTATTTTGATGTTTGTGATGAACATTGTGGTTTATATTTAAACATCTGTGAAACTCTCTAACCCAAAACACTACAAAGCATACTACTGAGTTTACAGTTAATGTTAGCCAAATATATACAGTATATGTACTTGGATAGCTTTTTTGATGGGATGCACTGTGATGTTTTGCATGTCCTTATTTTCCTTCCTCACTGGACCCAGCCCCCACATCTATCTGCAGGGTCATACCAGCAGCCCTGACGTGTGACCTGAATCGATAACTGTTTAAATCGGCAAGTCCCCAGTGAATTCACACCCTTCCCAAATCCCCTGATATGATTGGTAGCCCAAAGTCTCTGCTCACAACTTGGAAAATAATTTATTATTCAAGATGAATAATGATGCTTTGATATTGTTTTTACACACAATTGGTTTAGTTGAGCCAAATTCTCTTGTCCTAAGACGCAGAGTGTTGTCATTTTTGTTGGACCAATAATATGGTGCTTGGTTAGGCGAAACTTCACCCCATCTGTCAGTACTGATTAGATCCAGAGAGTAGTCAGTGTGAGAGCAGAGATCATTACCGCCTCAAAGAGTCCTGAGAGGCCCCGTGTAGTTCAATAACTCACTCTCTATTCTTAGATGTACAAGTTTGCATGCAGATTTAAATTTTTTTAAAGTTGTTATTGTACTGACTAAAGTGATCATTGCAAGTTTTGATCTTTACTTTCTGCTCCCAAGTGCATGGTTTGGACCAGCTATGTTTTGAAGTGCACACTTCATAGACCACCTTAGTGGTATACATATGACCAAAGGAGGGAAACGCTCCTGTCCATTTAATTGATAACAGATGCAAGAGCCTGGGCAAAGAGGTGAAAGGTTACTGTTGTCATAGCAACCATGTATGAGTAAATTCAAGATGGTTGGGGGCTGGGTTGGGAAGCAGAGTTGGAGAACTGAAGAGAGGGCGGGTGGGTCAGGGTTCAGAGGTCATTACTGCAGCTTTTTTAGACAAAGGAGCACTTCCCCTTCCCTCCTCTTCACTCCTGATGGATGCTGTTGTACGCTGCTCGTGCCATGTGCTGTTGTAGACCTTGAACAACCCAACAGCCACAAAGAGGCACTGACCTCTTCTGCGGCCGCTGTCCAAAACTCATCTGATACACACAGTGACCACTGCACGCCCACCACCCATCTGTCTTACGCCCTGCGCACGTGGCCTTTCTATAGACATTGTTTGAACTGCAGCAGTGAATGTGGACCTCGTGGCTCTAGCTGACCTGTTATAGTGCTCTGTGCCGGAGTTCAATGCCAATGAAATGGGTGTCTTACTTCAGAAAGACAAACTCCAAATGCTGACATCTGGACAAGTGACCCCTAGCCATTCTTATTACTTAACGCTTCAGCTTTCTATAAAGTATAAAAACAGGATACAAGAAAACACAGCCGTAACCACCATTCAAGGATATAGTTATTCAGTTATTGATTACTTTTTGAATATATTTTCCTTCTTTCCTTTTTACTTTGTAATAATTCAACACTGGGCAGCTCTGTCATGGACAATCATCTAGATTAAACTCTCCTCCTTCTCTCCACAACATTGCACTACATTGTTTAGGAACCTTTTTTACCAGTTTACAATCACTATTATTATTCACATTCAATATCCATATTGTAATAGGAGGCAAAGATAATGTGGTGTTTTACAGTGTACAAATGTACAGTGTACGAAGCATTTTCCAAGTTAACTGTGTTCATTTATCTCTGAGGTAGATTTAGGCTTGATTTATAGTGATGACCTGGGATGCCCCAGCTCAACCTGTGTCATAACAAATGCATTTTAAATGGAAATGCTGCCATCTAGGGGTGAAGTTTTTTCCTTTGGTTAAAAGCTTTTATGTATTTCTTCTAGGTGCTACAACTGCGGAGGCCTAGACCACCATGCCAAAGAATGCAAGCTGCCACCTCAACCCAAAAAGTGCCATTTCTGTCAAAGCATCGATCACATGGTTGCCCAATGCCCAATCAAAGCACAAGGTTCTCAGGGAAAGCCTTCGAGTGAGGAGGAGCACAGCCAATTGGCACTACCTTCAGAAACGTCAGATTAAACCAGCAACAGGGCAACTCTGAAACCAGGGGCAGCACAGAAGCCAATCACACTGCTTTGATGAAGATATGGGAGATGCTCTCCAATTCCTGTTGAAGCTGCTTTTGAAACTACCTCAGGTTGAGATTGCTCATTAAGAGCTTTTTTTTTCATTTTGGTGTAACACTCAGGAATACTGCTGTGATATTGCACTCAGGATTTGTTCTCAGGACTCTTTCTAAATGTTGGATCCACTGCTGATACAGGGGCTAGACAGACTATAATGATCATTGCCAGGATTAATAGCATTGTCCACACACTTCCATTAAGCTGCCTTACAATTCCCTTTCTGACTGTTACACCTGACTATCCAAAGACAAGGATGTGGCAGTTGGTAGCTCTGTGATGAATGTTACTTTCAAATCGTACGGAAAGGGGTGGGTGGGTTCGGGTTCTATCTACAAGCAATGTAGTGGCATCTGAGAAGTTTGCAACTGACCATCTAGATTTCATGGGGCCAAATGAATGTCCGACCAGAAGCAGTCTCCTACTCTGGTCAGTTATTTTTTGTAATTTCATTGTTTTCATACAGCACTCTGCTGGCTGCTGCGCACAGTCTACCTCATTTTTGCATTTGCCTATATTTGCTCAAAATACCTCATTGGAGAATGTGATTATAGGGCCCATATTACACTATTTTCTGATCTATGTTATAATGTTGTTTCCACATCAGAAACATACCTGGAGTTGTTTTGTACAATTCATACATGTTTAATTTAACAAACCCTGCATACCTGGACTGAGTTGAGCTCTCAGAATGAAATCACTTGTGAAAACACTCTTTTGTGATATCATGTGGTAATAGAGGAAGCACTCCACTGTATTTTTAAACTTCATACACCTTCACTAGAATCATTTGGATAATTTCAGCCATGGAGCTGCCAATCTCTTCTGAACAAAAAGTAAAAGGTAGCTGCTAAACTGAAAACTACCACTACATGACATCACAAGGTGGAACAAAGTATTTTGAGCTTTGGAACTGTAGACAGACTAATAATGCAGAGTTACTCAGACATGTGTGACTAAAACAAAACACAGATAGCTATGGGTGTTTTTGAGGAGGTAACAGAATTATAACTTGTCTTAAAGCTCACAAGAGTCAATTTTGTGTAATGTAGGACCCTTAAGATTAAATCAAATCCTTTGTACTACAGAGCTGACACATGGGCATTTTGAAGGCTACCTGTTGGGAGCTGGAATCTGCAGTATATTATTGTTATGCCTTCTGTGTCAAACACTGCTGCTAAGGACCACAGTGTGGATTTGATTCAATGCTGATTTAACTATATTATACAATACACTATCTCAACCATATACTTGACCTGGACTTGGATACTGAGAAGTCCAGTAATACTTGAATAAATTGGATAGTCAGATAAGATGTTACCAGTGGGATGGCTGGTGCTTAGTTTTTACCAGGTTCGATCTATTTCTAGGTAGTTATTTAAGACAGTACCTCCCTATGGCCTTGGGAAGGGTCATTCAGCAGGAGCACCAACCCTACACGGAGGAGCATGTAGAACTAGCTAGCTATTCAGCAATTTACTCCCGTTTTACAGGAGAAGCTGATCAGACATCCCACTAATATATATGTAAAATTTATTTTTTAAATATCATACTACTTATTTATTTTCATCCAAATTTCTTGACACATTTCATCAAAGTTCAAGCCTGTTTATATATTTGGAAACGCATTTCAACATCTTTATGTTCTTTAAGTACTTCAGATCCAAAACTCGCTATATTTGTACTAGCTATGGAGCTCAACTGTAACCGCCTGCAACTTGGTTCTGAAAGTAAAGGTTTATGAAAATATAAGTGAATATAATACATTCAATATAGACCATCTGGCAGAAAACTGTTGCATGTATTTGGGACATTAGGTACCACATTGCTGGTTAGCCTCATGTTGCCTTTATATTCTTAGAATTTGAAATTTGCAGTGTACGGGAAAGACAAATGGGAAATTCAATTTCAGAACTGCAGCGGACTTTGAAGTGGGTGGGACTGTTGAGCTCCATTATAGAGTAGTGTAAAGCTACACACCATTCCTTACTGGCACATACTATGATACGACTTGAGATTTATTTTTTATTTTTTTTTTTTCCAATAGACTATTCGGGTGTATTTTGTCTCTTATAATCTCATTTATGCCAAAACCAATGCAAAGTTAGTCTGCACTAATCATGTGTAAGATGTATTAATCTGTCTGTATATTCAGTTAGGTCTTTTAATTATGTTTTATGTTTTCTATATATTTTTAGGTTTTCATAGCAACTCTCTCATCTCAGGAAAGCCATCTGAAATCTCAGGGAAAATACAGATAGGCTTGAAAACTGTCAGGGAGTGTAATTCAGAAGATTTTAATCCGCATGATGTGAAATTACATAATTCTTTGTTTATGTGTATCAGATCCTATGGAGATTTACAAGCTTTATAAATGCTATGATGACATTCTTTATTCTATTATTCTTTGTCATGCCATGAGGTGAAATTAATAATATTTCCCTTTTAATGTATCTGTTCCCTGTAATTATAGTAGAGGGGGAAGTATTGAAATAAGGGATTGTCTCATCTCAACACATGGCTGATACTGTGTTTCAGACTATCAATGTTTCGGACAGAAAGAATGTTAAACTGCAATTAATACAGTTTAGTACAAGTCAGTGTTAAACGTTAAAGGTGCGTTGTGTAAAAAAAAAAATACTTTTTTCATGTAGATGTTATTGCTTTGTTTTGAATGTTTCACAGTATGACATTAAACCTCTCCATCTCCATTTTGACTAAGCCAGGCCAAGTTACAGATCAGATCTGTGAAGAGGCAACCCCGCTCACAGTCAGGATGTCTCTTTTTCTTGGTATTTTTGAGCTATTAAACCACCTGTAACTTAATAAATGTGAAGTTTAATGCCATAGTGTGGCCCATTCCAGGCAGAGCAATAACATATCCATAAAAACAAGCAGGTGACTTAATTCTAACCAAAAAGTTACATAATGCACCTTTAAGTGATAATGAGCCAGCTATAGCTTCCTGTTTGACATTTTATATTCCCAGGTCGTCCGAGCTAGTGCACCGTGCTTGTAATTTACTTATCGGGTGTTAGAAGGGTTAGATATATTTTGATGGTCTGGGATTTCTTAGATAGGCCTTATTCACTCAGGGTAACTGATAAAGTACAGCTAAATGATGTTTGTATGTGCTGCTGTCTTTATGTTTATACTTTTTATTGACCATAAGCCATTAATGTGTATGACTTGATCAGAAAATGTGCATTTCTTACTGAATGTACCAAATGTTTACTGACATAAAACTACAGTTGTGCTGATTTCAGGCTAACAATGTTTACTTTCGTCAATAAGCAGCATGTACCTATTACTGTGATGTATGTTTCCATAGACCTATGTTAAAAAAAAAAAATCTGCTTCATTTCATAATAAATTTGACAATTTAATGTCTTTATTTGTTTAAATCAAAATCCATCCATCCATTTTCTTCCGCTTATCCGGGGTCGGGACAGCAGTGTGAGAAGGGCCTCCCAGACTTCCCTCTCCACACACACTTCCTCCAGCTCCTCCGGGGGGATCCAGAGACGTTCCCAGGCCAGCTGAGAGACATAGTCCCTCCAGCATGTCCTAGGTCTTCCCTGGGGCCTCCTCCCTGTGGGACATGCCCGGGACACCTCCCAAGGGAGGCGTCCAGGAGGCAACCAGAACAGATGCCCGAGCCACCTCAACTGGCTCCTTTCAACGTGGAGGAGCAGCGGCTCTACTCCGAGCTCCTCCTGTGTGACTGAGCTCCTCACAATATCTCTAAGGGAGCGCCCAGCCACCCTGCGGAGGAAACTCATTTTGACCGCTTGTATCCGCGATCTCGTCCTTTTGGTCATTACCCAAAGCTCATGACCATAGGTGAGGGTAAGAACGTAGATTGACCAGTAAATCGAGAGCTTCGCCTTTTGACTCAGCTCCCTCTTCACCACAACGGTCCCATACAGCGATCGCATCACTGCAGATGCTGCACCAATCAATAAATCAACATACATACAAGATTAGAGTGACTACCTGCCCATTTTGTGGGGGCTAATGTCCCACAGGTGCTACACATATTGCATAAGATATTAGTGGTATCTTGGTAATACGCAGATAGATAAAACAACTTTATATGCCTAAATGTATAATGTCAGTACCACAATGTACTAACACACTCCCAACTTGTCTTTTACACTTTTGCAACTATTTGAAGTGGTCAACTGAGTCACCAAGATTTACACTTTTTAATTTTATTTATTTATTTATTTGTTTATTTATTTATTACCTCTGAATATTTCTCGGGACAGTTTCCTTAAAATGCCCAGTAGAGGCGCTGTCTGCATCTTCTAAGCATAAAATCCATCATGGTCGCCTTGTAACAGAAATGCTAAAAAGCTTCACAGAAAGACTACTAAAACACAGCTTCCGCTAACTGTATTTGCATATGTATGACAAGACGTTCTCCGCGATGTGGTTGCGACTTTACACCGTGTGTTTTAGAAGGCAGACAACTCTTGCAAGGCATCTTTCTGTCGTTTGTACCCGTGCAAGTGCGAGGAGTAATGCTAAGGGAGCTAACTTCTGTCACTCAGCGAGCCTTGCAGCAGCTTCCACCTGCAAGGCTCTTCGGTACCACAAGCACGGAGATCCCCCTCAAGTGGTCTAGTAAGGAAACACGTGCACAATGCATTATTACCCGACTATGTTTTCTTTTGTGCATGCCAGTGGTAGAAACCTGTTTGGAGCATTGTGGTCAGAGGTGTCTAGGCACCAGAAGTAAGAAAGGTAGAGTGAAGAATGATCTCATGTAAAAGAAACTTACATACTTCAAAACACCGTTACTTAATTAGAAATTAAAACATATATATATATCCCACGCATATTGTTTAAGATATTAGTTATATAGTGGTGATATTTACATAGATAAAACACACATACAATGTATGTGTTCATGGTTTTATAGCAGTCTTTATAAGCCTAAATGAGAAATTACTCAAGTTAGAGTAAAAATACTTTGGGGAAACTACTAGAACTTTGAAGATCAACTTGGTAGTGGTTACATCCACCAACCCAGAATTTGATGGTTCGATCTCTGTTTTCTCAGGAGAATATTACCCTCCGGGTATGCATACTGGTGTGTATGTGAGTGAAGCACTTTGAGTGCCTTGATGATGGAAAAGAACTATACTATATTAAAATGTGCCCATTTTTAAACTGATTTAATGTAATTGGACTAATAAAAAATACAATGAAATGCCACATTTTGTGTACAGTATTATGTAAAGGACCACAAAAGTGAGAGTAAGCTTTAGAAGCGGTGTAAAAAAAAAAAAGCAGTGTACAAAATATTTAATATTACAACTTTTTATCACTTAACCAAACCTTTTACTCAAGTAAGTACTACCAAATATATTAGGAAAACTACTATGAGAAGTATAATATTATTAAAAATTATATTTACTTGAATAATTTTAATTGAGTACAACCCACCCACACCTGCCAGTCTAAAAAGACATCATCCATATGTTTAGTATAGTTACAATAATGATCTCTCCCTTCTAAGATAAACACCACGAGTTTTAAATGAACATGTGATGCCATTTTTCACAGCTTGGAGAATATTGAAGTTGGACCTGTTGGCGCCAATGATGTCCTTGTTAAGATGCTAGCTGCTCCTGTCAATCCTTCTGACATCAACATGATCCAAGGCACCTATGCTATCCTCCCTGACCTGCCAGCCACTGGAGGAAATGAAGGGGTCGGTGAGGTCACTGAGGTGGGCCACCAGGTGACATCATTAAAGCCTGGTGATTGGGTTATTCCAAAAGACGCAGGTCTAGGTAAAATACATACAGTATCCTCACTTACATGGAAGCTTACTATAGTTCAAATTGGATGTGTGGTTGTGTCCAGGTACTTGGAGAACAGCAGCAGTGTTTTCAGAGGATGATCTAATCTCACTTCCTAATGACATTCCACTGTTGACTGCTGCCACTCTAGGAGTAAATCCATGCACTGCTTATAGGATGCTCGCTGATTTTGAAGACCTCAAATCAGGTATGATCATGCTGATGCTATTAAAGAAAGCAAAATATACTTGTGTTAAATATGATAGTGTTGTCTCTACACACTCTTTGTCTTTATCATGTAAATTAAGTTCAGTTCAGAAGAGTATGCTATACATGTAGATTTTTGTACTTTATTGATTAATGGAGAAGTAATTTTAGGACAGAATATTGTAAGAGTGTGTGTGCCATCAATAATACTAATTAACTATTAATTAACTAAATAAGCGTTTGGTATCTCAAAACTAAACTAAAACTAATAACTAGCTATTTAGACATTCATCTCAGCCCTCTTTTTTATAGACCTCTAAGAAAGTAGTGAAGCCATATCTAGTGCTTTCCCTTATTTTAAACAAAAAAAGGTTTCCCTTATTTTTTTGTAGTAGTAGTCGAAACAAATAAAGGTCGTTCCCCAAATTCCAGGTTCCTTTGCTTCTGAACCTTTTCAGAGGAATAAATGTCAATAGACCTCCGCCAAGTGGTGTTGCAATTCACCCAGAGCCCTCACCTCCTCCATTGCTCAACTCCTTAGTTTGGCAGTAAACTTTAAATAATTAAATAATTTAAAAATGCATTATTTAAATTTAAATAAAATATAAAATGTTCCTTCCATGCAAAATACCTATTTAAATGAATATTCTAAGTGTAATATACACTTTTCAGCCTAACTAACTTTATGACCAATAATTCTTTGAGCCTTTATTTTACAAATTTTTATGAACTGTTGAGCAAAAAATGAATTTTTTTTTTTTTTTTTGTGTATAACATTGTTTTTAATTATAGCGAGTTTAATCTATTGACTTTCCAACTTTCCTTCAATCTTTACAGTTCAATTTTTTTTTTTTTTAAGAAAGACAAAGATTGTTGAATTTACATTTTCTGCAGACTTTTGTGTTGTGTTGCAACTCACAAGAATTGCAGACAGATTATTTTCCATAACTTCTCTGTTTCTGTTTTAGGAGATACAGTTATACAAAATGCAGCCAACAGTGGAGTTGGACAGGCTGTAATACAGATTGCTGCTGCCCGAGGAATAAGTACTATTAATGTAATCAGAGATAGGTAAATTAAGTTTACGCTAGTACTTTCTGTTACATCACAAATCATGAGTCTATTACAAGCTTGTTAAGTCCACATGAATTTATGACTACACTAAAAGTCCTCATTGTGCTCTGTTAAAAAGGCCAGAGTTCACTCAGCTCAGTGATAGGCTGAAGGCAATTGGAGCTACTCATGTGATTAAAGAAGAGGTGCTGAGAAAGCCGGAAATGAAAGACCTTTTCAAAGTGTGTGAGTCTTTAAACTGTCTGATAAACATTTACTGATTTACTGATGAACACTTACACATACATACACACCTTTCATAGACTTGTCCAAGGCCTAAACTTGCTCTTAATGGGGTTGGTGGAAAGAGTGCAACAGAATTGCTTCGACATCTACAGTAAGGCTGTTGCAAAGTTGTTTTTTTTGGTTGTTTTTTTATTTATGTATTTTTTCATAGACCTATTTCACGGTAATTCTAATCCCAGGGTAGGAGGATCCATGGTAACATATGGAGGAATGGCTAAACAACCAGTTACAGTACCTGTGGTATGCAAAACCAATTTACACAAGTATTAAAAACATTATTCTTGTGCACATGTAATGATCTTTTGATTTTGATCATTTTGTTTCTAGAGTGCACTCATTTTCAAGGATCTAAAGGTCAGAGGCTTTTGGGTCACACAGTGGAAGAGGAATCAGTCATATGGTCAGTTAACTTAGCCTTAAATAACTTTTAGTAACAGAAACATAACCTTGTGCATCTTTTGTAGATGGCTGTGCTTTCAAAAACATGTTGGACGATTTGTGTTCCCTTGTCAAGCAAAAGAAGCTGACAGCTCCGACATGCAACAAGGTGTTTTTTGAGGAATACCACAAAGCATTGAGTGGTGCAATGCAGCCATACATTTCTGCAAAAAATGTCCTAATAATGTGATGTGTCTTATCTCAATAAATATTTTATCTTGCAGCAGGCTCATAATTCAGTAGTGTGCAAAGATACCTCCTTTTTATCAACAGTCATTAAACAGGGTTTGCATAGCAATTTATTACAGTAATTGTTATGCAATATAGATGAAGTCATAGCATTACACGTAAAGCAATTATAACAAAGGCAATGTTTCCCACCTTAAGCATAACTTCTATACCCTGACCAAATACATAATTAAACATATATGGTCAATACCAGGCTGAGGAGTACTAAGAGAAAGGGTAGAAGTCCCCCACACATGTACACTGCTGCTTCCTTTTCCAGACAGTGTTCATAGCGGCTGAAGTCCACCTCTCTGGCTGCACAAACATGGTCAATACGACAGTTTTTGTCGCATTCATTTAGGCCATTGCTCACAGAGTTATACTCATAATACTTCTGAAGATAGCAGTTGTCATGTGCTATGCGTTCCAGGATCTTATGCATGGAAAGCGGGGAAGCATCTGGTACTTGGAAACTTTCCGTAAGGCGGTATTCCTTCTCCCAGCGTTCTTGGGCTTCATTGGCAAAGGTCAGGTTTAAATAATAGGTCACCATATCCTATGTCACAATACAGACAAATTATACATTATTTCATTATGTTGAGCAGTATCTCATAAATTTGCTCACTTTAACCAGCAATGTTTCAGTGTCATATTCAAAGAGGCGTATCCCTGGGTTGTTGGCCCCATCAACCACTCCAGGCAGTAATGTTTTCCATGGTGTGACGCCTGGAGTGAGGAATATTGTGCTTACAGGAGAGCCTGAAACAGAAATTCAAAACACAGTTCAATTTAGTCGAACATAACTAATAAAAGATTTTTAATACTACCATCTGAGTTGTATATCATTCTGAAACTGTCAGTGTGATGATGTCCAAAGAACTGTCCAAGAATGACAGCATGATGTTTCTGAATCAGTTTCAAATATTGCTCATTGAACTTGGCGATGAACCATGGTTTACCTCTTTTCTTTTCAAAGAAGCCTGGTGGGACATGCCCAATAATATATACCTAGAAACAATGAAAACTCAAGGTTACTTAAAGTAACCCCCATTCGTTGAAAACATTGTGAGGTGTTTCACTATGGGAATCACCCTTGGTATGACTTTCCACAGAAGCTCCAGTGGTACCACATCTCTGACAGACAGGATGACCATGCCAAAGAAGCACCAAAAACATCCAGTGTATAGAACTGTACAAAGGCCTGCGGCGATGACCAACTAGCCACAGCGCATATATCCTGGACGGACACACCTCTGAAAAGGGTTCATGAAGTAACTAAACACCCTGATGAAGTGTGCCCTGAGTGCCAGCTCAGGTCTCTTCTCACTGGAGGCTCTCTGCATTATTGCCACCATCCAAGATTTGGACCAAGATGCGTGAAAGCGTCTGTTCCCTCACCCGAATATTAGACTAATCAAAGGAAACACATTGGGCAAGACGTCTGGCCACGGATGGGCAAGTGCCCTGAGAGGGATGTTTACTTCCGCCAAGGAGAAGAACAGAGGACACTTTGCATTTTCCTGCGACGTGAAAAGATCTACAGCAGCTTGACCGTATCTCTCACAGAACTATAATAAATTCTGGAAGATGATGCCAAGATGTCACCATATTGTCTTCACTGTTGGGCAAGTTACTTTAAAACTGTAATGCGTTATTTATTACTTATTACTGTCATTTCAAAGTAATTCGTTACATTACAATATTACTGCATTTAAAATGTAAGGCATTACATTACTATTGCATTACTTTAAGTTACTCTCACCAAAATAACTGCGAAAAAGCTGAACTTTTGAGCCGTATATGGACTGAACCAGGACTAAACAAGGTCTAAACCAGGACTAAACTAGAGCTGAACCAGGACTAAACCAGGACTATAACAGGACTAACCTCAGACTGATTCCAGGACTGAAGAGGAGGACTAAACCAGAACTGAACTAGGACTAAAACAGGACTCACTGTAGGGACGGGCTCGAAGGTGACCGCAGGAGAAAGGACCGGCTTTGCTCCGCACCTCACGGAGGTAAGAGCGGCTGTCGCCCGATCGCTTTTTATGGACACCCTGCTGCGGGGGCTCGCGGTCCTGATTTCAGCAACTATTTGCGGGTACAAGACCCGGTGCAAAACTCTGCTACAGCGCGTAACTTCTACCTTCCTTCAACGTGTCCAGAAGTCCAACTTTTTGTGCGATGGTTTGCATCGTCCTCTGTCTTTTGGGTGTGAGCGCAGGAGACTTTGTCGGTGCAGAACATTTCGTCGACGTTGTGGATTTTGTCGGAGAGAAAACTTGCAGACATACAGCACTTCAGAATCACACTGCTAGAGATTGAACATGTATTTAAATTTGGCATCTGATATTCTGTACTGTACTGTAGAGGAGACAGGAGTCCCTTAGCCGATCAGGACACAGCGGGAGGAACGCAATACGTGTTCATACACTAAAAACAAAAGGCATGCAAAATTGCACAAAATTTTTTTTTCTAAAAATCAGCGAAACAGCGAGACCGCGAAAAGTGAATCGCGTTAGAGCGAGGGACGACTGTAAGCCAGGTCTAAACCAGAAGTGACCCAGGTCTAAACCAGGTCTAAACAGCGTAGAGTTCGGTCCTTTCACCCGCGGTTAACTGAAGGTCTATCCGGCCGCGTCTGCGGCCTTTCACCGCTGCTGATTTCACGGTGATTTTAGCGAATTTCTATGAAGAAAAACCCACCACTTCAATCCAGGTTAAAAAAGCATTGTAACGCGCGTTACTTACATTTGTACCGAGTAAAATATTACAATTTTCCCCCCTGTAATGCCTTACATTACTGCGTTACAGCAAAAATCAACGCATTACTGTAATACATTACTTTTATAATACATTACTCCCAACACTGATTGTCTTCAATGCCCTATGATCAATGGCACATTGGGCCAAAAAATTTTTTCACTTCTGCATTTACCTCCTCAATAGGGGCTAACGCCTCCCACCCATGTGATGTAGGTAATGTACACGGTGTGGAGCATTTGGACCAATCAGAGCAAGTGTTGCTAGAGCGGAACTAGCACAGGCTCCGAGTGGAGCTAGGCCAAGTCTTACAAAGCTTTTAGCATAGGATGGAGATACCATGGATCTATAATAAAAACTGGAATTCTCCCATAGAAGCACAATGCATTTTTGGGGAATTCAAACTGCCCATGTTTGGCTGACAGGGCATCGACAACTTTCACAAAGGTCGAATTTTGTAGGGATCCTTTTCTATTTTCACAACATAAACTTTTAAAAATGTTAAATCCTCAAAGTGCCTAAAGGTTAACTTCGTAAAAGTTCGACTAGGGCCGCTCTGAGCCCACGCTAGCAAGCAGCTCTCGCAGTAATTGGTATAAACGCTTCACGGCGTGCACGTTACAGACGTCACATGGCTGGGATGCGGTAGCCCCTATTGAGAAAAGTAAATGTGGAAGTGAAAATATTTTGGGGGCCCATGCGCCATTGAGCAAAAGCCACTGAAATCAATATGGCGCCATCTTGGATTCATCTTCCAGATTTTATTATAGTTCTATGGCTTCACAGCACCCCCTTTTAAAAATTACTTCCAGCAGCCCTGACGTCAGCCAAGATGTCTGTCTAGTTTTTAACAGCCTGTGCAGGCTGGACAGCAGCTGTGGATTAAAGGCCGAATTATAATTCCGTATCAACTCAATGTCGCTGTCGCCTTGTCAAAGTCGTTTTTGGTTAATGGATCTGTGTCAAGGTCTGTGCAGTGCAAAGGAGGCTAGGATTTATAAATGGCGTTAGTGCCGGAAATGTATGTAGAGCCGATGCAGAGAGGACCAATCACAGCCCTTATTTTCTGTGTTGCTTTCCTTTGCTGTCTGCATGGGTTTGACGCGTAGTTACAAAATTTCAGAAGTGTATGTTGGTCAACGCAGATGCTCTGTGGAGGGGGTTCAAGGCGATGCAGACTGTCTGGGTTGCGACACATATGATGATGCATGAACATAAATTGGGCTTTAGGGGTGACCTCCATCAGACATGAGTTCTGGGAGCTAGCCACCGCAACTCTGACTCTGCTCTGTAATATTTTCTTCAGCATCGATGCACAGTGGGAGCAGAACTGGGCACTGCCATATGAGTATTTTTAGGGCTCATACAAGCTATGCACATGAGAGATGAGGGTCCTTGCCCGATATGGCACGATGAGACGGAGCCTCCTTGGGCTTCAGATCCAATCCTTTGACAAGTGTGGGAGTTGACATAATGCCTGAGACAGGGAGAAGAAACAGAGTGAATGCAATGCTAGTCTAGCTACGAGTCACAACACGACCTTGAGGACCAAAGTTCAGGCTTTAGGATAGGTTGTTTGGTTCTGAAGGAGTCTGCTCATCATAACACGTTAACAGAGCCACACACACTGCCGCTGAACCGGTCAAAAAATTATGAGATAGAGTCATCCTGTCTGTCAGACAGATGTGGTGCCATTGGAGCTTCCACGGATGGTCAGGCTCTGGGGAATTCCCATAATGGAACATGAAACGGCATTAGAAAAAAAAACTATTGCCAAATGTTTTGATGAATATGCCATACAAAATTAAGGGATGCATACCTTCTCTTTCTTGTTGGCAGCTTCTGTTAAAATGTGATCAGCCCAAGCAAACTGGCCAGCGGGGTCTTCCATGCCCTCTGTCACCTTATTCTGATCATAATAGAGATTAGTATTAAGCACAATCATCCTGTAGCCTGTGCGATTGAGAAGCTCCTCTGTATAGAATCCACCTGTGATTGAAAACATATAGTATAGCCTATGGCAGAATACATATATTTTGTTTTTCTCACTTAAAAGACTTAAAAGTCACCCTGTCTAAAGGTTTCTTGGGACCCCAGATGTAACCATTCCTTCCACATCTCAGACGTCTTGTTATAGATATTGTGGGAAGCAGCAGGGAGTTGACTTTTGGGGTGAAAGTCATGGTTGCCCAAAGCCGAGTAAACCTTGGTTTCTATGAAGACATGCATAATTTAGTTAGGCTACGTAATGTACTAGTATAAGACCTTTTGGTGCAAGGTATGTTGACATTTACTTGGGAAATGTTGCTTTATAATATAGGTGAGGTTGTTGATGATACCAAGAACTGCCTCTTCACCCAGTTGTTCATTTGGCACATGAGGTGTGTCATCTCTGAACAAATTTGAAAAATGTATTACATAAACGCAAGCTGTTTTAAATAAATGTGATCAAAAGTTAAAGAAAACGGACATACCCGGTCCATACAATAAAGTCTGGATCTGGTAATGTAGCTTTCATAGCGGATATACTAGAGCTGATCAGGTTCCATGACGAGTCACAAACATAGTCTCCAAAAGTCCCCGCATTACTGGCTGGTCGATTAAAGTTGGACGCACAAACACTGTTAGGCTCCTTGCTCGGATCATAAGTTGGGTCCCAGTGCAGGTCAGTGATGTGCCAAAATCTTCCTATAGTACCATGTGCAATTACGCACATTAAAACACAAATCTTTCATCAAAAAATATGCATCAGTAACTATTTTACTTACCTGAAAATCCAAAACTAGCCCCAAACAGCCCGAAGATTATGATGAACTTAAAAGCTGACATGCCTGAAGAAAGTGAAGCCATTTCAGCCACATGCACACATTGCCATTGCTGTTAAAAAATAACAAGATACTGTGTCACGCGCAGGCTGTAATTATTGCTACTTCATCATTCCGTCATCAAGTTTGAAGAAATATATATTGCTCACAATATATATTATTTATTTATTGTATGCTTTCTTTGTAATTACTAAAGTAACTGTAATTAGAAAATAATTTCACATTTCCGCCAGTTCTTAAATGCTACTAACGTTATAATGTGTACACTCTAAACTTCGTCTGTAAGGGTCTAATGTGAAGCCAGTGTTGGGGAGTAACGGATTACATGTACCGCCGTTACGTAATCAGAGTACAAATTATGAGTAACTGTATTCCGTTACAGTTACTGTTTCAATGAGTGGTAATTGGATTACAGTTACTTTGCTGAAATAAGTGGATTACAAGGCGGCATTTTTCTGTTTTCACATTTTGTGCTACATCCCATTAATTTATTTTTTTATTTCGGTAATTCCACTCATTGCCGGAAACCCAAACAGAAACAGGAGCTACTGGCACTGGTGAAAACAACCTGCATAGACTCATAGTATCTGCACTACTGTCCTATAGTGACCTGCCACATGAGTGGACACGCACACAAACACACACCTTCATCATCGTCATCAACCTGAGAACCCGCGGACCACGTCTCCTTCCGTAGTTACAGCGCGGACACCGCCGTCCCGTGCGCCGCGTGTGGACCGTGTTTTCTCGCTTAAACCGCGCTTCCTCCTGTGCGCCTCTAAACCAGAACTAACACCAGGACTAAAACCAGGACTAAACCAGGACTAAACTAGGACTAAAGCAGGACTGAACCAGGTCTAAACTAGGACTAAACCAGGACTGAACCACGTCTAAACTAGGACTAAACCAGGACTGAACCACGTCTAAACTAGGACTAAACCCGGACTGAACCAGATCTAAACTCAGGATTAAACCAGGTCTAAAACCAGAACTAAACCACGACTAAACCAGAACTAAACCAGAACTAAAGACCTGGTCTAGACCTAGGTTAGTCCTGGTTTAGTCCTGATTTTAGACCTGGTTTACTCCTGATTTTAGACCTGGTTTAATACTAAAGCAGGACTTACTAATTTAATACTAAAGCAGGACTGAACCAGATCTAAACTAGGACTAAACCAGGTCTAAACTCAGGACTAAACCAGGTCTAAAATCAGGACTAAACCAGGACTAACCCAGGACTAAACCAGGACTAAACTAGGACTAAAGCAGGACTGAACCAGGTCTAAACTAGGACTAAACCACGACTAAACCAGAACTAAACCAGAACTAACCAGGTCATACTGTATAAAAAATAATTTCTCTATCAATAATATTTTTTAATATGGTTAAGGAAAGGCTTATCTTGTTACTGTCTTTTAACAGACAAAACCTATGTTAAAATATCGTGGTCTTTGTTTTTCTACAGTAAACAGTTGCTTATTCATGGAGACTTGGGCTCAGACAATTTGAAGACAACAAATAATAATTTTCAGGATGCGGTTGCTACATTCATGTCGTTTAAAAAAACATGACAATATCAAGTAATCCAAAGTAATCAGATTACGTTACTCACTTTAAGTAATTTAATGGATTACGTTACAAACTACATTTTGGGGTGTGTAATCTGTAATCTGTAGGGGAATACATTTTAAAAGTAACCTTCCCAACACTGTGTGAAGCACATACAGTAGTACCACATGCGATTTGCAAAACTTTGATTTATTTCGATAATAAAAAATATTGTTTCATTTTTCATAAATTGTGTTCTGGAAATTGCATTATTAGGCCTTCCTGACCAAATATGAACAGGAAAAAAATATATTCATTTTGAAAGCTACGCGAGACTTTAGGCTTGCTCACACATTTGCTTGTTGCTGTTTCTCGAGTGAAAGTTTGAGTCAAATATCACAGATTTTTATCCTGTATTACAGCTTTTAGTTACATAGCCAGCAAGATATGGAACTAGAGTAAGGGAGTGACTACTTAAAGGGCATCTCGAGGCACTTTGTTTTTGAATTTAACCAAGTATTAAAAACATTCTTCTTGTGACAGTATAATAATCCTGAGATTTTGTTCTTAGAGTGCTTTCATTTTTAAGGATCTAAAAATCAGAGGCTTTTGGGTCACACAGTGGAATAGGATCAGTCATATGATTAGTTAACTTAGTCTTAAATATACCTTTTACTAACAGAAACATAACCTCGTACATCTTTTTTTGTAGATGGCTGTGCTTTCAGAAACATGTTGGATAATTTGTGTTCCCTTGTCAAGCAAAAGAATTTGACAGCTCCACCTTGCAACAAGATGGTTTTAGAGGAATACCACAAAGCACTGAGTGTTGCAATGCAGCCGTACACTTCTGCAAAGATGTCCTAATGTGATCTGTTGTATCTCAATAAATATTTTATCTTGAAGCAGGCTCATAGTCCAGTAGTGTGCAAAGATACCTCCTTTTTATCAACAGTCATTAAACAGGGTTTGCATAGCAATTTATTACAATAATTGTTATGCAAATTAGATAAAATCATAGCATTACACGTAAAGCAATTATAACAAAGACAGTGGCAATCTTTTTTATCATAAGCGTTTTCTACCTTAAGCATAACTTCTATACCCTGACCAAATACATAATTAAACATATATGGTCAATACCAGGCTGAGGAGTACTGAGAGAAAGGGTAGAAGTCCCCCACACATGTACACTGCTGCTTCCTTTTCCAGACAGTGTTCATAGCGGCTGAAGTCCACCTCTCTGGCTGCACAAACATGGTCAATACGACAGTTTTTGTCGCAATTGGTTAGGTCATAGCTCACAGAGTTATACTCATAATACTTCTGAAGATAGCAGTTGTCATTTGCTATGCGTTCCAGGATCTTATGCATGGAAAGCGGGGAAGCATCTGGTACTTGGAAACTTTCCGTAAGGCGGTATTCCTTCTCCCAGCGTTCTTGGGCTTCATTGGCAAAGGTCAGGTTTAAATAATAGGTCACCATATCCTATGTCACAATACAGACAAATTATGCATTATTTAATAGTGTTAGGTAGTAGTAATATCTTATAAATATACTTACTTTAACCAGCAATGTTTCAGTGTCATATTCAAAGAGGCGTATCCCTGGGTTGTTGGCCCCATCAACCACTCCAGGTAGTGATGTTTTCCATGGTGTGACGCCTGGAGTGAGGAATATTGTGCTTACAGGAGAGCCTGAAACAGAAATTCAAAACACAGTTCAATTTAGTCGAACATAACTAATAAAAGATTTTTAATACTACCATCTGAGTTGTATATCATTCTGAAACTGTCAGTGTGATGATGTCCAAAGAACTGTCCAAGAATGACAGCATGATGTTTCTGAATCAGTTTCAAATATTGCTCATTGAACTTGGCGATGAACCATGGTTTACTTCTTTTCTTTTCAAAGAAGCCTGGTGGGACATGCCCAATAATATATACCTAGAAATAAAAATTATTGTCAAATGTTTTGATGAATATGGGACACAAAATTAAGGGATGCATACCTTCTCTTTCTTGTTGGCAGCTTCTGTTAAAATGTGATCAGCCCAAGCAAACTGGCCAGCGGGGTCTTCCATGCCCTCTGTCACCTTATTCTGATCATAATAGAGATTAGTATTAAGCACAATCATCCTGTAGCCTGTGCGATTGAGAAGCTCCTCTGTATAGAATCCACCTGTGATTGAAAACATATAGTATAGCCTATGGCAGAATACATATATTTTGTTTTTCTCACTTAAAAGACTTAAAAGTCACCCTGTCTAAAGGTTTCTTGGGACCCCAGATGTAACCATTCCTTCCACATCTCAGACGTCTTGTTATAGATATTGTGGAAAGCAGCAGGGAGTTGACTTTTGGGGTGAAAGTCATGGTTGCCCAAAGCCGAGTAAACCTTGGTTTCTATGAAGACATGCATAATTTAGTTAAGCTATGTAATGTACTAGTATAAGACCTTTTGGTGGAATGTATGTTGACATTTACTTGGGAAATGTTGCTTTATAATGTAGGTGAGGTTGTTGATGATACCAAGAACTGCCTCTTCACCCAGTTGTTCATTTGGCACATGAGGTGTGTCATCTCTAAACAAATTTGAAAAATGTATTACATAAACGCAAGCTTTTTTAGATAAATGTGATCAAAAGTTAGAGAAAACGGACATACCCGGTCCATACAATAAAGTCTGGATCTGGTAATGTAGCTTTCATAGCGGATATACTAGAGTTGATCAGGTTCCATGGCGAGTCACAAACATAGTCTCCAAAGGTCCCCGCATTACTGGCTGGTCGACTGCCGCTGGACGCACAAACACTGTTAGGTTCCTTGCTCGGATCATAAGTTGGGTCCCAGTGCAGGTCAGTGATGTGCCAAAATCTTCCTATAGTACCATGTGCAATTACGCACATTAAAACACAAATCCTTTATCAAAAAATATGCATCAGTAACTATTTTACTTACCTGAAAGTCCAAAACTAGCCCCAAACAGCCCGAAGGCTATGATGAACATAAAACCTGACATGCCTGAAGAAAATGAAGCCGTTTCAGCAAAGCCCCTGCATTCCTATTACTGTTAAGTAATAACATGATAAGATACTGTGTGACGCGCAGGCTGTAATTATATTGCTACTTCATAATTTCATCATTCAAATATAAGAAATCCATTATGTCATGAGGCTAATTATAAACTGAAAGAAATATAAACTGCTCACAACATATATTAACTTTTTGTTTGCTTCCTTTCTAATTAATAGACCAACTGTAATTAAAAAATAAATTCAGATTTCCGACAGCCATTAAATGCTACAAACAATACAATTTTTTACCCTAAACTTTGTCTGTTAGGCTCAACTAATATGAAGCACATTATTGTACATGCGATGTGGCTGCAAGAGAAGAATTATTGCGTTACTTTATTTCAATTATTTATTTATTAATTATTTATTTCAATATTAAAACATCGCTTTGTTATTTCATAAAATGTGCCCTGGAAATGGCACTACTGGGCCTGACCAACTATGCACAGGGAAAAATATACTAATTTTGAGAGCTACGCGGGACTTCTGTAGTGTACATGCGCAGTCTGTTGAGTTTGGCGCGCGGGACTTCAGGATTGTGCACACGTTTGCTTGTTGCTGTTGCTCCACTGAAAGTTTGAGTCGACCATCAAAGATTTTTATCCCGTATTACAGCTTTTAGTTACATCACGAGCAAGATGTGGAACCAAGGTAAGCGAGTGCCGACTCAAAGGGCCTCTTGAGACATTACTCTGTTGTTGGATTCGTTGACTAGTGCTAGCCTTAGCTCTCACACTGTTGTATGGAATTGTGATTGTAAATACGAATGCAAACCATAGGTGTAAACTTACATGATTTCTTTTATAATGAGTCTGTTCTAACTGTTTTAGGAGGCTACACAGACACTACCATGGGTGGGGGCTACACTCAGTCTCCAGGAGGCTTTGCGTCACCCTCTTTGTCCCAGGGAGGAGAGAAGAAAGGGGTTAGTAGACATAGTGAACATGTCTAATGCAGATTAAAGGCAGTTTAATAGCGTTAATGGCTAACATCATAACACCTCCTTTCTTGTACAGAGGACCCGTGCCACACAGATCATCCCGTGTACTGTGTCTCAGCTAATGTCTGCCTCTCAAGCTGATGAAGCCTTTAAAGTGGGGGATGTTGAAGTAGCACAGGTTTGTTGTTAACATTATTATTGTTAAGCTGTTAGCATAAAATTAAAAATGACCATTTATCTTCATTTGCAGGTTACCATCGTGGGCATCATTAGAAGCACAGATAAGTCTATGACCAACATCCAATATAAAGTTGATGACATGACAGGTGCACCTATGGATGTGAAACAATGGGTGGACACAGAGGTCAGTACTCTTAATATACTTCAAATACAGTACATGTGTAAAATATACTATTGAAACTATTATTATTTTGTTGTTTTAACAGGATCCCAGTGTGGACAACACAGTACTGCCACCAGGCACATATGTCAAAGTCTCTGGAAATCTGCGCTCATTTCAGGTTTGCATATTAAATTGTTCTCACCATCTATGTCCTAAGTTTATCTCCTTGAAAGTAATGTAGTGTGTCTCTTTGGTCTCAGAACCACAGATCTGTTGTAGCATTCAGTGTCAGACCCCTGGAGGACATGAATGAGATTACGTCACACATGCTGGAGGTTGTCCACGCTCACATGGCACTCTGCAAACCTCAGTCTATGGTCAGACTTGTTTGTTGTATTATTTATGACCGGACACCAACTATACATATGTATTATAAGAATTTGTTTTTCTTTCAGACTAGTGCAGGGGGAATGAATAGCAGCATGGCATCCATGTCTCGAACAAGCATGGGGAACATGGGAAGTATGGGAGGAATGGGTGGAGGTGGAGGCTATCCAGGAGCAAACAACATGGTCAACAATGGGTTAAGTGCAAGTCAGAATCAGGTGAGCTATGACATGGACGCTACGTATTTAACTCAGCAATTGATTGGACAAGTCTTATTATAACCAAGAATATCTTCTAAATTGGTGAATTATTTACTCTAATATACTCTTAAGAATTTTTACAATATACTGTACTGGGACAGTACAGTATATTGCATTGTACAGATTTACTCTATTAGACAAAAAGTAAATTATAGTTTTGTATAGGCCTGTGTCAAGATGCAATTTCCAGACGTTAAATTCTAGGAGCATGTATTCTGTGCATAGTTTTTATTTAAGTGTATTTGCAAATGAACAAAAAAAAAAGATTTGATTAACACATTTTGTGTTTTACATGGAAATGAATATTGTTAAATAGTGCATTTAAATAAACTACTACTTGTTTTTCTCAGGTGTTAAGTTTGATAAGAAGCTGTCCAGATCAACAAGGCATCAGTATTCAAGACATTAAACAGCGACTCAGTGGCATGAGCATCAATATCATTAAGTATGTAATAAATACTTTTTTTTTTTAGCACATACATAGGGCCAGTCTGCCTTTAAGTGTGAACATGCTGTGACAGATGTGCAAAAATAAGTGTGACCCATTACAGTGGGAACAGAAGTGATGCTGCTGCCTGCCAAGTCCAACAAAGAGCAAAATTAGTGATATCACACAATATATTCACACAAATTTTCTAATATGTTTACAGGCAAGCGGTAGAATTCCTGAGCAACGAGGGACACATTTTTTCCACCATTGACGAAGACCACTATAAATCAACAGATAATGATGAATAGACCTGATTTTAAAGCTTGTGTGTACTCACTTGCACTAAAGGTCATGAAGAGGAATTTCTGGGTTTTCAGCTCACACATCCTGTATTAATGGCTGCTTCTGCTATTTTATGATTCCCCCAAAGGGTGCAAAGCATTGACTTTTAACTTGTTCCTTGAACATAAAGCAGTTAATAATTTTACCATGATGAACAGTAAGTACTAGTGTTTATCTTTAGGAAATGACCTTTTGTCAAAATAAAATGTATAAATCTGTTTCTAGAAAAAGTTGGTACATTTAAACAAATACTAATAAAAGTACATGTATGGTGTCACTATCTCCATTTGTAGAGCATTTATTAATACAATAATTATCGCATTTTGCATAAGCAGACCTATAACTGCAATGTCAAACACACATTCATTTTTTAGCACAGTAAATAGCCAGGAACCACATGTTTTCAGGGGTTTCCTGTGTCTCAGTGGTTTTGTTATATATACCGACCCAGCTGACACTTCAGCGATTTTGTTCTTGAAGATGTGATGTTTTCCTCCCAAACAGGTGGTATTGGTGTGAACAACATCTCTTTGGAGTCCATTTGATTACTTGAAGAACTGAACATTTTCTTGTGCTTTCTTTATGACTGTGGCTAATTCATCCACGGTCTCATAGTCATGGTCACTGTCCACATCTGGTTCATTGTTCAATGGCACTGAGGAGGAGAGAATATTGAGAAATATAATTTAATCAAATGTTTTCACAATAGAAGGGGAAATACTTTTTTCACACAATAGACTAACAACTATTTTGAGGAAAAGAGCCTATCTGTGGATTTCTACATTTCTTTTTATTTTCAAAGTTGGATTGGAAAAAATGCACAAGTAAAAAGTGCCTATAAGTGCCCACTGTAAATTAGTCACTTCTAGCTATGTAATTGTACACGCTGCATAAAGGTATATGTGTTACTGTTTAGGCTAGAATACCAGTCACAAACATTGACAAAGCTCTATCTCACTGTTTCTCTACAAACATGGAATCATAGGCCCGAGCTCAGAGGAAATATTAATTATTACAACTTGTATTCTACAACAACTCACCCTTATGTAAAAGATAACCCTGTGTCATGCCAATCACTATTTCATCTCTGCACTGTTTTCACAATATGACCTCTTGTATATAGCTGAGAGAAATATTTGTATTCCAGTATTTATTTCTGTATTTGTATATGTACATTTACATAATCATGCCTTATTTGACACCAGTCTCTTGTTATTTTTGCTTCTTATTTTGAATTTATTATTACCATTTATATTGTTGTCCTTTGTAATTATAATAATAAAAATAAAATTTTGACATGTGAGCTACTGTATCCAAATGAAATTGTGAATCAAGTTTGTTTAAGCCTTACTGACTGCTATACTTTGAGTATATTGAGTACATGTGTATCTTGTAACTTGACACAATTGTCATTCTTTTCACCAGTGAAAAAATAGTTTATTTTTATATATGGATTGTACAGGCAGGAAATTAAGTTAAATTATGACTCACATTTGCTACATGATGCCCCGATATAACCTCATAAAATGCCTGTGTATAATAGAGCTTTGTGTCTGCCTTGCAAACAACTTCCTTTCTGAGTATGCAATAATAGTCTGCTGAGTTTGTAACAAAATGCTGCCTTTACCTTTTTTAATGGAATCTTGCATTTTTACATAGGTGTTTGGCTGTGCTTTCCCCATCATTGTTGCAGTTGCAGGGGATTTGGGTGGAACAGTTGGGGGATGCTCATCTTCTATACCATCCTGCAAGGTTAGAGGAAGTTGTATTATGTTTGACTTTTTTTATTAAGTTGTGCACAGAAAAAGGGAAGCTTGTGGTCGCTAGTGTATTTACTATGACAATTATATGAGACATTTTTGCTATTAACTTTAGATACTTACCGGCACAGGAGGGGCCGGTGGTCTCTTTTTCCAATTTACAGTTAAATCAGTGAGCTCTTTACACGGGACAGTGTCAGCTTTACTTTTGGATTTCTTCTTGGACTTTTTGGTGGATTTTGAAGAAGAGACATCCCTTTTTGGTGGCCGAGGTGGCGGGGCTACGTCAGATGTGGCTTGTTTTCGAAACTCATAAAGAAAGTCATCTGTTATTTCTGTTACAGTTTCAACACGGCATTTTGGAGGTTGATCTTTTGGCCAAGGTAGAGATTCGTCGGTAAAATATACAGACATTGAAAGCCATTTGGATGGAATATCAAAACATTTATCAGGGCAGTTTAGAAAGCTTGCCTGGATTACGGGCTCTACCATGGCTGCCTCTATTCTGAGATTAGATGCTGCTAGTGGGTCACTTTCAAGTTCAGGATCTTTTGTTACCACTTTAACATCCAGTGGCAGGCTAAATTCCTTCCCCAAGTCTTTCAATTTGTACTTTTTGTTATCAGCCAGCACCTCCACAAAATGACCCTGCATATACATTGGCAAATACATCTCCTCCTTGTCAAGTCTGTCAGCTTCTTCCTCTTCCTCATCATCTTCATCAGCTTTTCGATAGCATAGAAGTGCCTCAACTGTTTGCTTTTCTTTGGTATCCTTTGCATTTGGGAGCTCCATTCTTTCACAGCGCACAATCTCAAGCTGTTCACCCACACTCAAAGCTGGTACACCCTCTTCCTCAATTTCCTCACAGTTCCTCGTCACATTCACCTTTAACCCAGGCGCATTTACCGACGCGGCATACACCTCATAGACAGAGCTGAATTCTCGCGGTCTTCTTTTAAGTCGACCGCCGTAATGTTGTGACACTAAGAAGTACTGCTGTGTCTTCCGGCTCTTTAAGTTGGAAATTAGAACCAAAGCAGCTGAACCTTTTTTGTGGAAAATCACTTTGTTTTGTGTTTTAAGTCCAGCTAACCAGTTGCACTTGAACATGGCGCGACATCCAGGGCCTTCTAGTATTTCCAACACAGCGGGGAACTTCTCATCTGGTTGGGAGAGGATCTCTGTCAGACTCAGGGGGGTAACAAAATCTGCTTTGCAATTCTCTGTGACGTCAATGACATCAACCTCTAAGCTTGATGGAAACTTCAGTACATTTTTTCTTACTGCGGGGGAAAAAGAAAGCAAAAAAGAAATGAATGAAAATAGTTACTTCTGCATCACACTTCCTTTACACATCATACATGAGTAAACTTAACACGTTTTATATTTTCATATTTTACATATGTGTACATATGCAAAACAAATGTCAAAAAGTAAAAACAAAATACTTCCTTTGTCTCTTTCTCTCTCGGGTAATGTGAAAATGTGACATAGGCCAACCCATAATTTCTTGTCTAATGTACAATATCAAATTTTTTTTATTATTATTTTTTTTTATGTTGAATACAACATGTAGCAGCAGACAAGGTAATATTAATTGACAGTGCAGAAGAGTGTAAATTTCTTGATTTGACCCTCTTCAATACAAATGGTAAATAAACTAAACTAACCTAAACTAACCTAGTTGTAATTACTGTAATTATATTTATGTTGGGTTTGCCGTAAATATGGTCCTATTTATCTCATTCTTTATATAAAGGCAGTGGTTCATAGGTGGAGCATTTATCCACTCCAGTGAAGGTTAGCAGTTGCCTGGCAATCCCCAGTCCCACCACTATATTTCTGTCTGTAAGCACCTCTGTCTATTCACCTTGCTTCCAATTCATTTCTGTGGCAGTAATAATATTGATGATTGTGCAGTGAAAAAAGGACCATTATACAGGTTGTTGTTCTTATTGTGCTAAAACAATGACTTGATGCAAGAGAAGTAACTGAGAATTAACCAATTTCACAATGTAATGCTTTAGGTCATGTTAGAATGGTGTTACCTTCTCAAAAACACAGCTGGAGCTGTGTTTTGTTTCATTCATACATTTGAGTAACCCATTATTATTAGTCTGTTTACATTTCCAAGGCTCAAAACCTTGTGATATTGTTGTGTTTAATTGACCTCCATTAGCTGTCAGCTATTTTTCCTGGAAACCTATGTTGCATATTTTGCATATACCATTTATGTTTAGTTTAATAGAGGTTGGCAGTTCCATAGCTGAAATCACCCAAATGATTCTAGTGTATTACCTCTTAACATCACAAGATGAAACAGAGTGTTTTCAGTTTGAGAGAAGAACCTAAATATACAGTGTGTGTGTATTAAGCATGTGTGAATGAAACAAAACACAACTTCAGGTATGGTTCTGAAACATTATAGCTTAGAAAATAGCATAATATGGCCTCTTTAAGTACGAGAGGTTGCTTACAGGTCATGATGGCATGGATCTGGTACACCGGACTAAACAGAAGAGGCTGCTGGAGCTTAGTTGTGTTGGCAAAGCGAAACCTCCGGCTCCGTAGACTGGAAGAAGTCATGATCTCACTCAAAGAAAAGCACTCATCGCTCTCACACTCGTAGAACTCCCCTTTAGTGGAGAGAGGGATGCAGACCTCCGCTGACGCATCCTGTTGTCCTCGAATGAAGCAACGGACACACATGTTCCCATCGTCCAATTTCTCAAAGCACCGTACAGTTAATTCTTTCCCTGGACTCAGTGTGAAGTCACCCATTTTGATCTTGGTTCGGCTGGTAAAGGTGAATGGAAGACTGGACTCCAAACCTATAGGCCTCAGCTTCATCATCTCATCCACTGTGTTATATGGCATTGGCTCTGGGATCACCTTGAATAAACCTAAGAAAAGAATGCACGAGCTAACAATATGCAGTACAAAAACATTTAAGTAGTAGTTAAGTGGTAGTTAACTTATACCAACCTGTGTGGTGTATTGGTAGCTCAAACTTGTCATTGTTGCTTACGTATTCACAACTAACTGACTGAAGTTCTATGGCAATGATCTTTATGAGATCCCCTGTCGAAAAGCACACTTCGCTCCCAGATATTTCATATACTGAACCTAAATGAGAAAAAAATAGATATAATATTATATATATATATATATATATATATATATATATATATATATATATATATATATATATATATATATATATATATATATATATATATATATATATATGTACACACACACACATTTTTATTATATCAGCATTAAATCAACCACTTTACAACAGGCCACAACCTTGGAAACTGTTGGCCATCTGTTTGTCTACATATTTCCTATTAGTAAGATAGGAAATAATGTTTTTGATTTTATCTGTTTTATTTACTTAGCAAAGCAAAATTAGAGCTAATCATTGAAGGAAAGGTGAATAGACAGGCCCCCGTATAAGAACAATAGGAACACAGGCTCAGCATTCTTAAATATATATGGCCTACTATCAGAAAAACATGAAAATGGAAGTTACAATTCAAATAAATATTATAACTGACCTTGGAAGTAGACCCCAGAGCACACCTGTAGTACTCTAGGCAAACAGTTCTCATCCAAAGACGCACAGTATTCTTGAAGTGGCAAGGTTATGTCTGCCATCACTGCTGCTGCATGAACGTGCTGCAGACTACACAAAAATGAAGGCATGCAGCAAATGACATTCGCAGTAGGGGCGGTTTCTGTCGAAACCACAACACTGAATAAGGAAGTCACAGGAGCAGTTTGCATATTGCCTGTATTCATAGAAATTGTATAATGAGAACTCAAATTGAAAGCTTGTGTAGGCTCATGCTGCTAAAAGGAAATATAAAGATAGTAGCTAGTATATGTAGGTGAACTGTCAGACTGAACAATACAGGCTTTCTGTTTCTTTGTTCTTAAATACTTAATATACTTAAAGCTACCATTTGGAATTAGATTGACCGACTCAGCTCTGTTGTATTCTCACATAACACCACTGGATGCTATCAGTGTTACTTCTGTCTGATAATGTGCCAGCTTTGCCCTGACAAAAGAAGACCACAGAGCTATTTCTCAATCCACCTACCTGTGCAGACTTGTAAAACCTATAATCATGTGTAATTTAGGCTCAGATATTAAACTAAACTATGATGAAAAGGGCTGATGTGTTATAGTAATGGTATATTTTGGATGAGTTTGGTGAGTTAAATAAATTTGGATTTATTATTGGCTTTTATTACTGCCATGTGAACTTTATCTTATGTAATGTCAGTAAATCCTGAGAGGCCTGTGTGTGTGTGTGTTTCTGAACTCCTCAAGTCTCTGAGTCTGCTCCCACAAGTCTGTACCTGGAAGTACACAAGTATGGAGTCTGCATACTGGGAATTAAGAAACAGCTCAGGTGAGCCAGAGCAGAGGCCAAGGGAGGGGGTGAGGGGACAAGTTTAACATATGCCATCAACTGGTAACAAAAAATGAAATAAACTTACATATATACGCAGAATTGAGCTCACTCGTGGCTTTGAGTGTAATATGCCTATAATATGAAATAAAATATGTCCCCAACCCACAGATACATAATTAACTTATCTGAAAAAAAAATCAAACAAAAAGCTGCAAAACCCACATCACTTTCCACACTGCAAACACTTGCTCACCTGCAGAGTACAGGTGGTTCCCCCAATGTCCAAGCTTCATCTTTGGCCCAGATTTGAACCAAATTGGCAGCTTTGCTTTGACCCACAATCAAAAAGAATGACAGGCCTTATCAACGAGCCTCAAACAAAGCAATGCCAGTGCTCAGCCAGCAGGGATCCCTCATATTTGGGTCTTAAATAGTTTGTATTATGGCAAAATATGGTCCATATGTGGGTCAAATGTAGCCTAATATAAACCATATGATTCAACATACTACAGGGATAAAAGTAAGAATAGGCCACAACACCCCCAGGACCTGTAGCCTACCTGCACTGTGCCAGATACAAATAGGCTACATGTCTCAGGTCTGGGGCTCTTATGGACTTCCTGTGTGGGTGACCACTAGTATATTTTCCTTTGACCTAGTGCCACAACCAAAATACAGCCCTTCGTACTCAAATCCGCACTAAGCACTAATTCATTCACAACACTAAAGTTGATTAAAAAATTTCAAACACAGATAAATGATTAAAACTGGGCCTGCATCTAAAATACATGTGGCAACAGCAAGTACGAGCATTGGAGTAGAGCCGCTGCTCCTCCATGTCGGGAGGACCCAGTTGAGGTGGCTCAGGCATCTGTTCTGGATGCCTCCTGGGCGCCTCCCTCAGGAGGTGTTCCGGGCATGTCCCACCGGGAGGAGGCCCCGGGGAAGACCCAGGACATGTCTCTCGGCTGGCCTGGGAATGAATCGGGGTCCCCCTGGAGGAGCTGGAGGACGTGTCTGGGGTGAAGGAAGTCTGGGAGTCCCTGCTTAGACTGCTACCCCCACAAACCGGCCCCGGATAAGCGGAAGAAAATGGATGGATGAATTTAAGTACAAGCATTAATAAAGGATGACAATCATAAGCCTCTTGAAATATAGGGTATTAACCAAAGGAAATATTATTTAGCAAAATGTAGTTATGTATTTCAGCATAACATAGTGAGATAAATTAGCTGTCTACCCAATGTGACTGAAATGTGACCCCTGTGTTTATTTATTTATTAAAAATAATGACCAACTACATTACCCAGTTTTCCGAGTTTTGACGATTTCCCGTAATGCATTTCGGCACCGAGAACATGAAGCAAGATGGCGACTAAAACAAGTAAAGAGAGCGCTCCTCCCTTTGATTGTCCATCGTGGTAAGAAAATCTACAAACTGGAGTTTCCAAAGTTTGCATTGAAAGCACAATTAAACGGAAAAATGCTACTTGCACTTCTACGGTTGATGATAAACATGATTATCTCACGAGTGTACCTCACGGCTGCAGGTTACGTTAGCATCGTTGCATCCTCCACGCTCATCATGTAGCCTACACATACAAGTTCCTACCACAGTTCCTTCTAAATCTTTACGAAGCTAAATGCACAACAATTCTGCGTAGCTATTTTATATACGTCTGAAAGTTTAAACATCCTGTTTGCGATCTGAAGTAGGTTACTTGCTAGCAGCCAGTGTGTCGCCTTAAGCAAGTCTCTTGTCAAACTAGTAGTCCTTTTTAATACTTTAATGCATATACGCGTCAGGAATACCTGATCCGATTCGTATCTTGTTGATTTCAGGGCAGGGAAGCCACCGGCGGGACTTCATCTAGACGTGATGAAGGGAGACAAACTAGTAGAGGTAAGTCCAATTGGATATCCATTGCTTTCGAATATAACTACAACTGCTGCTGAAAATAATAACGCCTCACACTTGTAATGTGCTTTACAGGCTTGTTAAAGCCTCTCTAAGTGCTACACTGTAGTCATTATTCATTCACTCCACACTTGGTGACGGTAACCTACTAATGTAGCCGGAGTTACCCACGGACAGACTGATAGAAGCGAGACTGTCACTGACTTAATATGGAAAGTGAAATTTAATGCATGTTGAAAAAGCACCCGATACTAGCCTGACAGCCCAGTAACCCTCACCAGGGTTTTTAAATGGCTGCTTGGGTTTGAACGGTGCAAAAATATATGATCAGCCATGAGATTTAAGCTTTTCAGTGAAAGGCAACACTGTGAGGTTATTACTCAGAGGCACATATGTTTTACTTTAAGTGAAAGTGTTTTTTTTTTTTATTTAGTTTTTGCCTTTGTAGATTCTGAAACTTTGTCTCTTTACAGAAACTAATTATAGATGAGAAGAAATACTACCTGTTTGGGAGGAACCCCGACTGGTGTGACTTCACTATTGACCACCAATCCTGTTCACGTGTTCATGCTGCATTGGTCTACCACAAACATCTAAAAAGGGTCTTCTTGATAGACTTGAATAGCAGTAAGCACACAGTTAGATGTATATGTATATCTATGTATACATAACAAAACTGTTCTGTCATAAAGATAATTTACATAGGCCTATACACTAATGTTGTGCATATGATGCTTATGTTTTGTTTTTACATTTCAGCACATGGTACATTTCTTGGACATATCCGTTTAGAGGCTCACAAGCCACAGCAAGTTCCCATAGACTCAACAATTTCTTTTGGGGCCTCAACAAGAACTTACACCATTAGAGAGAAGCCCCAAACCCAGGGGGCTCCAGGCACTGGGGATCTCAAGGCAGGAGATGATGAGGAACTCAAAGGGCTTTTGGGACTGCCTGAGGAAGAGACTGAGCTGGAGGTAACATTTTTAGACTGGCATTAGTTATGTAAACCCTATGTAAAGCAGCAGTGTGGCTAGCACTCCCCGGTCGCCCGGGCCTTTCTGTGTGGAGTTTGCATGTTTCTTCCCGTGTCTGGATGGATTTCCTCCGGGCGCTCCGGTTTCCCCCGTCAACCCAAAACATGTGTTACGTCCCCTTTGCTAGGGGAGAAAGGGAAGTAACAAGAAAACCAGGATGTTAAAGGTTTAACTAAAAATTGTGCATTTATTATTTACAGTGTAAGGGAAGACAAACAAAAAAACAGGCAATTAAGGTGAAAAATAAATAGGAGTTAAACAAAATAATCTAATAAACTAAAGAGCCCTAACTAGATACAAGGTACCAAATCTACTCAAGATGTACTGCGAACAAAAAACAAAGGTGTCTCAACGAACTAAACGAGGCAAAAGCCGGCAATATAACACAAAGAGACAACCCAACATCAAACAAAAGTGGCGAGCTGGCCGCAGTGATCCAGCCGCCTCGAGCAGGCGGAAGATGGTCCCTTTTCAATCCCCCGCTATCACAGGTGTCATCCGCGGATTGGTGGAAGCGCAGGGATGAACGGCCAATCGCTGACGCGCTGCGACGCCAGCCTCCGTCCCACGTCGGGTACTCCCGCGCATCCGGGTCCAGGGCTCGCGGACCGGGAGCATCATGCGTAGACAAAAGCAATTAAAGAAGAACGGGAGTACTTTAAACAAATATCACAGGGCCGGGGCCCGTAACACATGCTACATAGGTCTCCATGAACAGTTGATAGTCTAGGTCAGTTAAATACAATCAATTCAATCATTGTGTGTCCTTAGGCAAGACACTTCACCCACATTGCCTAGTATGAAAGCGGTGTGTGTGTGAGTGATGGTGGTGGTCGGAGGGACCGATGGCGCCGATTAGCATGGCAGCCGTGCTTCTGTCAGTGTGGCTACAATAGTAGCTTACCATCACCAGGGTATAGTGAATGAATGAATGCTGAATGAATAATGTTGAATAATGCTTTGTAAAGCATCTTTGGGGACAGAAAATGTCTGCTATATAAATAAAGACTTACTTACTTTAATGGTCACTCTTGGAACGTTGTCAAGAAGACACACCCTGTCACATCTTGTCACACCCTGGTTTTAAGTGTTCTGGGTCGGTGTGTTTGCAGTCGAATAATGAGCATTCTGTGGGAACAAGGAGTGAACCAGCAGTGAAGTAAACAAAACTAAATCTAGCAGACTTTGGGGCTGGATCACAGCTTATTACTTTGTACAGCTGTAAAAGAGTATTGTTTTGGTCTTTTATGTGCTAAACCTGTGGGCATATTTTTATAGTGGGCTTGATTTCATTTTATGCTTAATTTTGTTCAGAATTTGACGGAGTTCAACACGGCACACAACAAGCGCATTTCTTTACTGACCATTGAAGAAGGCAACCTGGAGATTCAGAGGCCCAAGAGGAAACGAAAAAGCTCTAGAGTCACATTTTGTGATGAGGATTCTATTATTAACCCAGGTATGTATTATATTTAGACATAATGCACTCACTTCCACATTGTATAAATCTTTAAAATTTATTTTATTATTTCTGCAGAGGATATTGATCCGTCAGTTGGACGCTTCAGAAATATGGTACAGACAGCTGTGGTTCCAGTGAAGGTACATAATAACAAATAATGGTTGTGATCTTTTAAGCATTAACCTTACATTTTAAAATTATGATTATTATGATTTTGTCTGGATAAACAAGTGGTTTCATTAATGCATTAGAAATTAAAGGTCATATATTATGCAAAATTGACTCTTGTGAGCTTTAAGTCCTGTTGTAATTCTTTTACCTCCTCAAAAACAAACCTGAAGCTGTATTTTGTTTCATTCACACATTTTTGAGTAACCCTTTATTTTTAGTCTGTCTAGTCAGCTCAGAATGCTCTGATAAACCTTATGGTGCCACGAAGTTTAATTTTCAAGTTGAAAATTACCTTTTTGCCTTTAGTAATACAGTGGAGCACTTGTATTCATCACATGACTTCATAAGGTGTCGTTTGAGGGAATATGCAGAATTTGTGTGTTAAACCTGTGTGACTTAAACAAAATGCAACTCTGGGTATATTTTTGATGAGAAAATTACATAACATAGATCATCTTAATATACTATGGACCCTTTAAAATTAATTAATTACCCTATAATTTTTTATTTATTTTTTTCTTTTTAAACAGAAACGGAGATCGGAAGGTCAGAACACTCTCGGCCTTGATGACGTGACATCCAAACGTATGCATGGCTACAGTTTTGCTGGTGGTCTTTATGGGGACTTACCTCCCACCAGCCATGAAAACCACCCAACTGGCGGTCCAGGAGGTGTAGCCATGCATGGAGGACTTCCCTTCCCCAACCCAGCGCCTGAAGTGAACCTAGCCCCAGAGCCTCCACAGCCCCCCGTCACACTCAACCCTACCCCCGTTACTGCCCCCTATTTACCCGAGGCACACAACGAGCCCCGCAAAAAGAAGTATGCCAAAGAAGCTTGGCCGGGCAAGAAACCCACTCCATCACTACTTATATAAGGACGTGGACAGGGCTGCTGACTCTCAGGTTACCAGGAGGCGTACCAGGGACTATGGCCTGGCACATGATCTGTTTGAATTGTTTAGTTTGATGGTTTTAATACTCATTGTTATTACTAAAATGCAATTGATTGGCAGATATTGTTTGGGGGGAAAAAATAAGACAGCAGTTGCAAAGTCATATAAACTGGTATGTTCTTGTGGCTGTTTATGTAGTTATTATGAATGAAAAGTGCTTTTAGTGGCACCCAATTACAGACAACAAAATGAGTCAGTGAGTTACATTTATGTGTCACGTGGTTTGTTTTTTCTACTGAACATATTTTGACCTTTCACTTCTTTTAATGTTTTGATAATGCTACTAAAATAGTATTACATACATATTTTTTTACAAACATTACATGAGTGAGCAGTGACAAATATTAAAATCTTTTCCAATTGTAATGATTATTTCTATTTCAACACCCCATTGTTTCTAAGCTGTTTGATGCAAGACTGAAAAGTATTACTGAAAAGTACATGGTCACTTCAACCATTTCAACCTAATACAGTTCATTTTAAGAACCTTAAACATCTGGTGTCCCCACAAGAGGGCAGCCTTTGCCTTTGTCAATTTTTTCGTAGGTCTGATTTGATGCACCCATAAAAAATCTATTTGTGACTGTTAGTTACTGATACAAATGTAAGACCACAATTTGTGCACAATATTTATTTCAAATGAAAGACCTTTACTTTTATTTGTTTGTCCAAGAATAGCTGTAGATTTCTTTAATGTCAGATTCAGTTGGACTTTTAATACAATATTACTTTACCATAGTGATGTTTGTTTTGTAAAAAAAAAAAAAAAAAAATTTCTGTAATAAAATAGTAATACATTAGTGCTTTTAGCATTTCTTAGATATGCTATGTCTTTAAACGTACAGTGTGGCGTGTAATAGTCCACTTCACAAATTAACTTTGCATAATCTTTCATTACTCTACAAGAATTATTATATTGTTACATTTCAGTAAAGCTCTTTTAATGTTACCAAATTAGCCTTTGTTGCAAATGAGAAAATTTAATTGTTCTGTTCTAGTTGCTCTAAAACCATGAAAGAAGGACTGTCAGATGTTTCTTAACATGAAACAAGACAAACTCAGGCCTTCTGTTATATATTTACAGAATATGTACCATAATGCAGAAACCTCTTTGCAAGTGTAAATGAGTTACGGAATAAGCTCAGAACTGGCTCAAGAAGTTAAAGTACGCCTTCACACATAAGCAGTAAACATGAGGGTTATATCACCTTAACCTCTGTGAGACTACATAAACCACATATTTTACACTGTGGCTATCAACCATAATCTTATTAAAGTTAATATTTTACAAGTTTATATAATCCCACTGGTTGACCTATAATTTTCATAATGTAGAAAGATAAAGTGATCAGTGTTCTCAGCTTTGTGCACCACAACAGTGACACAAGACTGATTGCACAAGACTACAGATGGTCAAATATGGCCTGCAAGCTTATTTTTCTTGGCCCCCAGCTTTATCCTGGGAAGAACAATTTACTGTTGGTTTTAAATTCTGAACCATTATAACTATGGATGCACTGATACTGATACTGGTATTGAATATTGGTGTGGATAAATTTGCAGGATTGGGTATCGGCTCAATATTGATTAATTCGATATTCTAGTTCCTTGCTGATATTGTCCTACAATGTTTGAACTTTTATTCAAACAAAGCTGTTGAGTAGTTATTTGAAGGATAAATAACAGTTGCATAACACAGTTGGATCTCTTCTGCAATAAGTTAACTGTGTTTTAAAGTAATAAACACAATTTTCCGTCCTTACATTTGTATCGGTTAATATCGGGAATTGATATCAGTATCTGAACTGAAAAGGCTGGATTGGCGCATTTCTAATTATAACTTAAATAGCCACCCATTTTGATGTGAGTCAGACCTGAGGGTTTTAGACTAAAGACACTTTAAAAGTACAGATAAACACTACTTTTTCATTGATTCACAGCATTGATGACTAAAGGTATGCAAAAATATTGAAATACTGGTATATCGTATCGCTTTATGTGATGATATAGTATCGATATAGTGGGATGCTGTATTGATACATTGCCGGGAGTATTTTTGGTATATTTCACTCAGTTATTTTGTTACTGCACTACAGTTTTGTTGCTTTGAGAAAGGAAATTCGTTTATGCAACACATTTGAAATATTCACTGTTTTGATGAGTGAAATGGGTGTATTTCATGAACTTTGCACAAGAAGTGGTTTAACAAAACTTTTGGTATCACAGTCATCATTTAGCCATTATTTTTATTGAACCGTATTGAATCAATTTGAAATATATTGTATTGAATCGAAAATGCACTGTATTGAGATTTGTATTGTATTGTGGCCTTTGTATCGAGATATGTATCATATCGTGGTCTAGCTATCAAGGAATGTATCGTACAGGCAACTTCTTAATGATACCTAGCCCTACTGATGACCAGTTAACAGTACTGGCTCTCCACATGGTCTATGTTTCTGTATGTGACCTTCCATGAAAACAGTTTGGAAATGTATATGTAAAGCATACAGAAAATCACTCTAATTCTTAATAGTTATTCACTGTGCTCCCAAGATGTTCAGTGCACTTTTGTCAGGGAATTTACCCCGACCTCAAATATTAAAGAACACGCCAGGGACACAGTGGTTCGTTTTACTTGGGCAAGGAGTAGGAGAGAGCTCTGCCTGTCTCATCCTAACTGAAGCTCTCTTCTCTCCATCGCCCTTTTATTGTAGAGCACACAATTATCATACAGCAGGTTACTTTGAATACAGTACCTATTGTTCACATGTTATCTCATGACTGACAAGCTTCCACTGACACAGCCCCCATTATACACAGGTTTCACATTCCAGGTGGTAGATAGCCTCTAGCAATTCCCCAGAGTTCTGTGTTAGCCTCATGATGTTTACCATTACTATTTGTTTCTCCCGGTACATTATCTTTAATGAGTCAGCCGACTCATCATCCATATCACCTGATACAACTTGAACACAACAAAACAAGACAAAACAAAAAGCCAGTGTTGATAACTTTATACTACATCATGATTACCTTTACATGAAACGGCCTTTAAATGATTAACACTTTAAATGAGAAATGCTTATAACATAAAATGTATCACAACTTTCAATACATAACAACACAATGAAAGGTAGAAAGGTAGAAAGTAGAAACCAAAGACCATTGTCCTCATTACAACTGTGAACCTCAACCTCAGAAACCTGTAGTGTAATGTGAACTTTAGGGTGCACTTTAACCCTATTATTGATAAGACTAAAAATATTCAGTCAGTGGCTTCCATGTGATCTTTCACTTTATGGAAGGAATTTACTTACAAAATCTGAAGGAATTTCCTGACTGACATATACATCTCTAGGGCTTAATGTGGATGTGAATACATGTAAATCAATTGATAGGATACTATACAATTTCATCTGGAAGAACAAAACTCGTTATATAAAGAACACTGTAATAATAAATTCAATAGAAAAAGGACGTCTACATTTTCTAGACTTCACATCTTTGAACTACACATTTAAAACTAACTGGTTAAGAAATTTAATACATAACCCTAAATCAGTCTGAAATTTCATTCCCAATGCCATTTTCTCCAAGCTTGGGGACCCGTCTACTACAATACTGAAAAATTACTAGCTATGCTGGCTGCGTTTCATAAACAGATACTATTAGCGTAGTCCATCATTTACAAGCATTAATTTTCACCCCACACATACCTTATATGGAACAACTGTAATGTTTTATACTGCAACAAGTCACTTTTTTTCCCCCCAACTGGTTTGAGAACAATATGTAAAACAATTGTTTAACTCCAATGGATTTCTGATGAACTACTCTGAATTTCTAAATACTTATGAAATCCCTGTCACCCCAAAGGTGTTCTAATGGATGCCACACCTAGAGGGCTTCGTATGCTTTTCAAGGACTTTACCAACACAGCCTTATCATATCCATTGTCTGTTATAAATACTGCGATTGGTAGAACTTGTTTTATAACACAGTTAAAACAAAACAGGAAAATAAGAGATTTGTTTCAAAGAAATATAGCTACGGTCCCATATGTGATTCACCACTGGAGAAACTTTGTTGACAATATTTCATGGAAAAATGTATGGACCCTACCACACAAATATCTCATCACCAATAAGCAAAAGGAAATCTGCTGCAAACTTTTACATTGTTGCTATCCAGTAAAGAATAATCTTAGAAGGACAATGAACACAAATTGTATTTTGTGAGCTGAAAAATAAAACCGCCTCTCGTTTATTTTGGACCTGCCCAGGCTCTGTGGTTTTTTTTTTGGAGGGAATTTTTCAAACACATACCCACCTTTTCTTATTACCTTTTCTTTTAAAAACATGCTGTTTTTTTTTTTTTTTTTGGAAAATACATCACATGAAAAGTAAACAATACTATACAATTAATTTTTTAATCATCTTGGCAAAATTTTATATCTACAAATGTAAATCCACTATTCGTAAACCTTACTTCCCCATTTTCCTGTCCGAGATACAATACTATATGAAAACCATCCACTTATCATCCAACTCCTTAAAACATGGGAAATTTTTATAACTATCCATCCATCCATCCATCCATTTTCGTCCGCTTTATCCAGAGCCGGGTTGTAGAGACAGCAGTCTGAGCAGGGACTCCCAGAATTCCCTTTCCACGCATATTTTCTCCAGCTCTTCCGGGGGAACCCTGAGGCGTTCCCAGGCCAGCTGACAGACATAGTCCCTCCAGCCTGTCCTGGGTCTTCCCCGGAGCCTTCCCCTGGTGGGACGTGACCAGAACACCTCCCGAGGGAGGCGCCCAGGAGGTATTTGGAGCAGATTCCCGAGTCACCTCAACTAACTCCGTGGAGGAGCAGCGGCTCTTCTCTGAGCTCCTCCTGTGTGACTGAGCTCCTCACCCTATCTCTAAGGGAGCACTCAGCCACTCTGCAGAGTCTAATTTCGGCTGATGTATTTATACTATTTATGTACTGTATTTATTAGTATTTTTGAACTATTTAATTTATAATAATAATGGTGATGATAATAATAATTATTATTATTGTAGTGATTGTTGTTGTTGTTCTTCTTCTTATTATTATAGTTATTTCACCATTGAATATAAAGTGACTTCAGTGGGCCTTTGTTGTGCAGATTCTAGAGTGTAACAAAAGTGGACACAAATGAGAGTTTATATCTGTTACTCTTATAGTTATCCACTCAATAGTGCCTGCCTGATGAAATAATTTCATATTCCACATGCAACAAGTGAGAGGGGTTCCCCACAGTCCGTCTGACCTGAGCGAGCACAGTGTTTTGTAGTGTAGAAGAGTGCTTCCAGTTAGCTTCACCCCCCCAGGGAATGTTGATGACATCAGCTGCAAAGTACATTTTGCTTATACATGACCTACACCAACCCCCATGGTGTAGGAGTTTCATTGATCTCTGGCCAGACAGTAAAGGATGAAAGAGATGAACTTGCTGTGGTGTAATGGCCCTCAAACATGATGCACATCCTCTTCAGTCTGAATGGCTTCACTGAACATACCCTAAATATTCTCAGATAATGAATAATAATATAAAAGGGGAATGCAATTAGTTCAACTTGGTCATATTCAACTATTGCACTGGCTGGTACAAACACTATTAATGTGAACTAAGAGTTCTATTGATACTATTGTATCATTTCACACTAGGTCAAAGATGAGTGGAGTTAAAGCCACAGGGGAGTGGTTAACAGTAACACACAGAATAGAGTCACGCACACACGCACACACACCACACATACATGGGAGTGGTTCAGGGCATATTAACTGGGAATGTTTTGAAAAGTGATTTGAATTGATAAGTGTTTCAACAGCGTGTATGTGTGGAGAAAGTGTATTCCAGAGTGAAGGGGCCTGGACACAGAAGGCTCTCTCCCATGGTCTGCAGGTATCTTAATTCCCAAATCCCCTTAATTTACTAGATATAACTACATAAATAAAATCAGATGTTAGTGAATTAACAAGTGAGGGAATAATCGTTTTAACTCTTCAGATACTGGAAAGGAGGCTTTGTTGTTAACTGTTACTATGTATCATACTACAGTGTGTGTGAAACCCTACCAATCCAATTTTGAATCAGACTTTATCCAGTATCATCTTTTTCCTCTTTGTAGAAATAAAAGATCTATCCTCCAACAAAAATAGCCCATTTAAATCCATTTGTTAAAGGGCCGATATTATACAATTTTTTGGTCTCTGTGATACTGTAGTTTCCTCATTAAAAAAACATATCTGGAGTTGTGTTTTGTTTCATTCACACCATATTCTAATGACAGATCCCAAAATTTGACATATTGCTATCACTCCAGGTAGAAAATGCTATCAGTGATTTTTGAAAAACTTCCACATCTAAGCTTTTCATTTTGGTATACCTGTATCACCTGAAACTCAGAAAAGCCTAACAGTTATCAGCCTTTGAAGTGCACAAACTATGTGCTCACTGATAGCCCTTGCCACTAGAGTGATACCAAAATTTTGTCTGGCCCTTGGACTATAAACCCTGCATGCGTTCTTCTGTAAAACTAAAAATACCACTTTAAAACACCACAACATGATGTGTTTTTAAACTACATACCACTACGTGACATCACAAGGTGGAACAGAGCATTTTGAGAGGCAAACTAATGCAGATGCAGACTAAAAGACTAGTAAAGGGTTATATCGCCATGTGTAAGTGAAAGAAAAGCGCAACTGCAAGTACTGTATGTTTTTGAAGAGATAACAGCATTCTAACATGTCTTAAAGCTCACAATAGTCAATTTTGCGCAATACAGGACCCTAAAGTCACAGAGCACAGCAAAAACACAGATCAGTGTAAACTAGTGGAGAGATAGAACCCCAAAGAATGCTGAGTTGCACTATTATTGCTCCTGTCCACTATTTCATGGATGTACATGCTGGATAGACAAAATTGCAGCGGTGTGACTTAATTATATACTGGAACACTGAACTTTACTTTCTGTGAAACACCTTTTCATTTTATGACAATTCAACTTGTGTATCTGACATTCAACAGTCAGATACAGATGTTTGAGGAAGCAAATGAAGAGACCTGGAATGGGTATAATTACAGGTGGAAGAGGTACTAAATTTTTTTACTTAAATAAAAGTAGATACTGGAACAAAGAAAATACTAAGTATCACATTAAAAATCTACTTAGGTAAAGTTTAAAAATGATCTTAAAGAGAAAAAGTAAAAGTATTTCATACAGATTTTGAGGTTTTAAAAGGCTTCAAAATGACTGATTAAAAAAAAAAAAAATGTGCTGAACTTTGGTCAGTAGAAATGGACATGTTAATAAATAAAACCCTCAGTATTTTCAGCAGGTCTCCAACACACAAAAAAATACTTTTACTTTTCAAAAATTACTTTACAATTTTTTAAAATTTACTTTACTAATGTACTTTTCAAACATGTAGTGGAGTAGAACATACAGATACCTGTGCTCATATGTAGTGAAGTAAAAGTAAAATGTATTCATGGTAAAATGTAGGCACAGCATTTTACTACTTTCACTTTATTACATTCCACCAATGGGTATAATATAGGGACCACCACCAGATCCACCAATAAAAAATCAGTAATCAGTAATAACCCATTTTCACTATCATAATTGAGGGAAAAAAGTGAAAGTTGACATAAAATGGAAATGGTGTAGAAAGCTGCTACCAAATAATGATGATGTATTTTTTATTATAGAATGTATATATTTCCTGTCTTTGAATCACAAAATCACAGTTGTTGCACTATTAACCATACACCTTTTACAATATGTGGTAATCAGTTTAAATTTACATAATCAGGATAATTGCTAGAGATATATCCAGTTAAAGGTGCATTCTGTAACTTTTCTGGTGGAGGGTCTGTCACGTGACTGGAATTACAGCTCCATAGAGATGTAGTTGCTTTGCTTTTAACTACACTATGGAAACAAAGTTGGTCATCATAATCGAAACAAGTTACTGGTCAGATCTACGGTGAAACGAGTCTGCTCAAAGTAAGAATTCATGTTTTTCAAGATATTTTTGAGCCATGAAACACCTGTAACTGAATACATGCAAGGCAGAAAAGTCCAATGCCATACTGTGGAACATTTCATCCAAAAAAACAACATCTCCATAGAGACAAGCAATTAGCTGACCCTCCAGTTTATAAGTTACATAGTGCACCTTATATTATATATTATTATATTATATTATTAAACCAGTTCACACAAGTGGCTCGACTGGTTTGATTTTGATATTGATTCCGTTGAGTGAGCGCAACACTAATCTTGGGATGAGTTTGGGTTTAAATTTCGGGTCCTCAATCAGTTTGTATCTCTGCAGCGTCAGTGCAATCACTACTTTCATCTCATTCATGGCAAAGTTTTGACCAATGCAATTCCTGTTGAGACAAATAAACATTATGGACAATATAAAAAAGACTTTTAATATGTAACTTAATTCTTTTATAGTTTTCCAGTCCAGTGCACTAGAGCAGTGATTCTCAACCACGGTGCCGCGGCACACTAGTGTGCCGTGAGAGATCGTCAGGTGTGCCGTGAGAAATTATCCAGTATCACTTTTTAAAAAATAAAAAAATATTACTTATTACCTGCAAATATTATGTCATTGTCGAGTGTCCGTGCTGTAGTACAGTGTAGTATATAATGACTGGCAGAGTGATGTAATATTCGTCCGGGTGGCGACAGGCAGCTAATTGCCTCGTTGCTTTAAATCAGGGGTGCTCAATATGTCGATAACGATCTACCAGTCGATCGCCAAGGTCGTGTGGGTAGATCGCCGTGTCTCGTCTCGGACTCGCGTTTGGACTCGGTCTTGTCTCTCACTCAAGGTCTGACACTCAACAAGTGCCATCATATTTCATTAAGGCCGCTGCTGTTGGCAATAAACTTGTACAGGTGTGCCAGCCCGCGGAGTCTACGGCATATCACAAACACACACGCTCCCTGTGCACGGCTCGTCTGCAACAGCGTGTGCCCTCGTGTACCAGCGTGCATCACAGGGCAGGTTCAACTTCCTAAACATCCTACCTGTCCATCTGCCTCACGTCAGCACGCCGCCCCTCGCCTTTTCACGCCCTCACCTTCCTGCGTACAGCGAAAACAGGCCCCTTCCACAGTGCGGCTGATTAGAAGAGCAAGACCAAAAACCAGTCTAAATTTGTGTTACAGTGTTGGCACAAAGCAGGTCTACAGCATAGAGCAGATCTACAGAACAGACCTACTGCCACATTTGGCTGAAGTTTGTCTAACAAAAGTGCACAAATGCATCTGTGTTTGTCACGATGTGCGTTTGGTTTGGTAAACGTGCAGAGGCTGGTAAATATCACTGCAAAACCAGAAAAGAATGAAACTCCAGTTTGGAACTTTAAAAAACAGGTTTAAAAATCTTCCTTCACTTTTTTCACAGTTTTGTGTAAAGTGCCAGAGGAAGTTCTCTTAAAGAAGGGGTTCTCAAACTGTGGGTGAGGGTCCAAAAAAGGGGCACAGAGTGTTTCAGTGCAGTTTGCTTGGTTTTGTATTAGGTAGATCTTTATGACTTGGTCATTTGGTAAGTAGATCACATGCTGAAAAAGTGTGAGCACCCCTGCTTTAAAAGAATTAGTAACGCATGTGCATGGTGACAGTCATGGAAAGGTTTTTTAAAATGGACGAATGCAAACTCCGAAATGGGCCCTGGACAAGATTCTGACCCAGAAGAAGAGCTTTTCAAGCTTAACTGCTATAGAAACTAAAAACAGAGAGAGACTGAGAGCTGTTGATGAAGAGCTTCATGTGTGTCTTTCTTCTATTCCTGCCAGGATATCAGCTTTGTGTTCATCTAAACAGGCGCAGGTCTCACACTGAGTAAGTAGAAATTAATGTAGAAATTATATTGTAATTAAATATACTATATAGTGTCATTTGTAACATTTTGGTTAGTGGTGTGCCGCAAGATTTTTCCAATGTAAAAAACGTGCCGTGGCTCAAAAAAGGTTGAGAAACACTGCACTAGAGCCTGTTTACATAAGACGTACCTTGGACCTGCAGAGAATGGTACAAATGCATGAGATGACCTAGAAGATATATTTTCTGGGAGGAAGCGTAGTGGATCAAAAACCTATTCAAAGCACAGTGAAGAAAGAAATTCATTATTTCATTTTACAATTCTCAAAGCAAAATGAGTGGAACAGTTCATAGCAGTCAGATTAGATGTGTAATTAATTTATCAATTTTTCTTGTGCAAATTCTCATTAGGGGGCGTTGTGGGTCTTGGGAGAGACTAAATCTTGGACTGGGTCAAGCTATTCTCAACAGTAACACCAGTATATGGGCTAACATCCATTCACTTTTCACTGTATAATTTTGAATTCCTTTACATACACAGTTTGAAAGGAAGATGACCCACAGTGCTATGAGAAGAGCATGCAGACTACAGAGAGAAACCTATGTAAACCATCTCAGTTGACATTAGTATTGAATTATCAGGCTTGCTGTGATACAGATTATCATAAAGCTAAACAGACTTGGTTGAGTATTGTTTAAGTGTAGGAAAGCTAGAGAATAGGATACACAGGACCACTAATACTTACAAATCTGTTTCCAGTTCTGTATAAATTATTATACTTACATCAGGATTCTCCCAGACATCTGGATTTCGGTGAATCCCATAAATACTAGTTCCAACAATGCTTCCTGTGAATAGAAAAATCAACTTCAATATTTCACTGTGCCATAGTATCGCATTTTTGTAGGAAAAGTGAAAAATAGAAACTGCATTATGTTCACCTGTAAATATCATATTTAGTATTATCATTAATATGAAAACGAGGCTGCCAATCTGCATCATTGGCCTCTCCAACCATCACCAACACTCATGCATACCACATTCATACTTTTTTACTAACTGAAATGCCAACTGCATCATTTGTGTTTATTGTGACTACACCATTGAATTAAAAATATATAGAGAAATACAGTACATATTTGTTTTTCATTCACATTCGAGTGTTGTATCATACCTGCAGGAATAGTCCTTCCATCAAAAAATGTCATGGGTTTTGTTATGTGCCGAGCTGTTCCTGGTACCGGTGGATATAGACGAAGACACTCCTTAATGCACATTGTGGTATATGGAATTTTACTTAAGGTCTCCCTAAAGAAACATAATTTTAATCACTACCACAACTCCAGATCAGTTAGTTTTGTGTGTTTGTAATATGTTTAAACCAACCACTCCATGGTGTTTTTGTCTCCCAGGGCTTGACAGATCTCCTCCCTGCACATCTGCTGGTGCTCTGGGTGACAAGCCAAACAGTAGAGGATGAAGGAGATGCCACTCGCTGTGGTGTCATGGCCCTCAAACATGAAAGTGTCTACTTCCGCACGAATGGATTCATCGGACAGACCCCGATTGTTTTCATCCTTTCAAAAGACCCAAATAAAGAGAGTTGCAGATAGATAATACATAACATAAAATAATAACTAACAGCTAATCAGTCCATTGTTTTCAACTGTATAACTTGTTTGCCCGCGCATACACAAAAGTCTATCTAAGGTTCAAATGCATGTTACTTAGTTTTGCCTATGTTTTTGTAAACACACTATAGAATGCTGGTTTCATAATTTATGCATTATTATCCATAATTTCTACTTCTATCTGAGGTGACATATGGCAAGATAAAAGCAAATAATCAAAATATGAAATGCTACACTACATCACTGACATGTTAGTGTCATATGAACTATGTCACATTCTGAGGAGCTCAGGGAGTGGCCCCCTGCCAGTGCCGAGAGTCAGGACTAGACCAGAGGGAGAGGAGTCAGGGGAGACTTATAACTTTTATGACTAAAACCAATTAGATGTATTCATATTAATATTTTCATATAAAATATGAATACATACAATGAAAAAAAGTCAGAAATGAAAAATTCCTTAATTATAAGGATTTAATAGTGCCCAAAAAATAGTTAATGATGGAAATACAGGTAATCCTTAAAACAAAGAAAAATCATAATTTATAGTAAAAAAGAAGATAATTAATAATAATAATAATAAAAAAAAAAAAGTTTGTTGTTTAATTAGAAAAACAAAACAAAAACAAAAAAACATGGGGAGTCAGCATTTCAATTTTAAGCAGCTAAAACCTGAAACAGTCTTCCTGAAGATGTGAGACAGGCCTCTACTCTGACTATGATTAAATCCAGGCTCAAAGCAGTTCTATTTAGCAGCAAATGACTGAAAGGTTTTTTATCCCACACTCTTCTCTTTTGATATTAATTTTATGATCATTTATGTTTTGATTAGTTTGTATTGTGATTTTAATCTTTCTTGTTCTGTAAAGCACTTTGAATAACTTTGTGTATGCATTGTGCTATACAAATAAACTTGCCTTGCCTACTAAGTAGATCATTCAACAACTGTGAGTTGGCAACTGTGAATTTGGCACTTACTCGAGCACAAAGAAGAATGTCCAAAAAGTCTAAGTTTCTCTTGGCTTGTATGCGATCCAGCTCCTTTTCTTCTTTGAGCTCTTCTTTTCTTTTTTTTATAACCTCAGCTGTCATTAACAGATCCACAAATCAGAACATGCTTCCATTATATTTTATGTAATAAAACTGTAATGTGGGGTTTACCTGTGTGGTGATGTGCCACTCTGCAGGCTTTTCTTAACCGGAACCCGTGTGGGCTGAAGTAGAAAATAAAGTCATTGTGATAGGGAAAGGTTCTGAAGCGCAGATTTATTAAGTAACTCAGCTCATATACAGATCTGATGTATGCTTGTGTTCCCCTGTAAAAGAAAAATGATAAATACACAAGATTGAAAGAACTGAAAGCCATTGTGCTCGTACCCACCCCTCAGTCTGACAGTTGCTATGATGACTGAAGGCACACTTTAAAATACTATCCAGAGTCATAAGGCTGACATGATCAAATAACTCAAAAGTCTCACCAGTTTTGGAATATTTTTCCCATTTGTCCTGTAAACAAAGATATAAGCAATGCAAGAATGTCATAAAAATGTATCATTGACTACTAGTCATTAGCTTATAGACCGGTTCCTTATATTCACATTTTAACCTTAGTGGGAACTTTCTGGGGATTTGCTAACTATACATTTTTGGAAAGGTTATAGTATAAGGAGTCAAAAAATCAATGTTTGCATTGCCCAGATGTCTATGGTAGCCATACTGAAGTTTAAAAAATGGCTGCTGTAAATGTAAAAAATATAGTATCTCGATTTCTGAATAAACTGAAATGTTGATTTTACTGCTAAACCCGTTGTAAGGGTCAAGAAATCCAATGGTGCTAGTTACATATTCCCATATTAATCCTTGAACACATGAGTAGATAATAATAACCCAGTGTGGTTGTTCTATTGCAATATGTTTGTAATGAAAAGTTAACATTTCCTGCTCCAGCTGTTCTTTAAAAAATACAGGTTTTTTACACCACTCACTAAAACATTTATTATTTAGTGTGTTAATGATTACAAAGACACACATTGCAGGCTTTCTAGAATGGGTGGTGAGAATGATACACACATAAAGTAGTTCCTGTTACAGTGATGTTTTGAGCCAATAGCTCTTCCTCAGACTTGCTATATCAGAAAAGTGTGATCCCTTAAGAGCATTTACAGAGCATTTAAACTGAGAAGATATGTAATATATTTTAAGAACATATTTAAACATAAACAACTACAGCTAACCAGCTAATATTACTGTATAGTATGTGTCATATATCACTTTGGCTCCTCAGACTTCTGATTTATTCAGTGGTTAAAAAACACTACACTAGTATTAATTTTTAGACATTAAAAAAATTTGTTTTTCACCTTCCACGGTGGTAGGTCTCTCTCACCCTCATCCAGCTCGGGTCCTCTACCAGAGGCCTGGGAGCCTGAGAGTTCTGCGCAATATCTTTGCAGTTCCTAGTACTGCACTTTTCTGGACTGAGATTTTTGTTGTTTTTCCTGGTACCTGCTGTAGCCACTCTTCCAGTTTGGGGGTTACAGCCCAGAGTGCTCCAAATACCACAGGCACCACTGATGCCTTCACTTTCCAGGCTTTCTCCAGCTCCTCCTTGAGCCCCTGGTATTTTTCTAGTTTCTAGTTTCTCATGTTCCTTTTTTCCTGATATTACCATCGCTTGGTATTGCGATGTCCACCACCACGGCTCTGCTCTGTTTCTTATCCACCACCACTATGTCTGGTTGGTTCTCCATCACCATCCTGTCAGTCTGTGTCTGGAAGTCTCACAAGATCTTGGCTCGGTTGTTTTCCACAACCTTTGGAGGTGTTTCCCACGTTGATCCTGGGGTCTCCAGCCCATACTCACAGATGTTAGATACAGATTTTCTGTACACTATGCCTGCCACTTGGTTATGTCGCTCCATGTATGCTTTCCCTGCCAGCATCTTACACCCTGCAGTTATGTGCTGGACTGTCTCAGGAGCCTCTTTGCACAGTCTACACCGTGGGTCTTGTCTGGTGTGGTAGATCTGGGCCTCTGTTGTTCGAGTGCTCAGGATTTGCTCTTGAGCAGCCAGGATGAGTGCGTCTGTGCTGTCCTTCAAACCAGCCCTCTCAAGCCATTGGGGTGATTTCTTGACATCAGCCACTTCAGTTATGTTCCAGTGGTATGCCCTGTGTAGGGGCTTGTCCTGTCCTGATGGTTCCTCCAGCGCCTCTTCCTCTGGACACCACTGTCTGAGACATTCTCTGAGCATGTCATCTGTCGGGGCCTTGTCCTTGATGTACTCATGGAGCTTGGATGTTTCCTCCTGGACAGTGGTTCCCACACTCACTAGTTCTCGGCCTCCTTCCTTCCGGCCTGCGTACAGTCTCAGGGTACTGGATTTGAGATGGAACCCTCCATGCATGGTCAGGAGCTTTCGTGTCTTAATATCTATGGTCTGCCTTCTTCTTCTGTCCTCCTTTGGCCAGCTTATGATTCCTGCTGGGTATCTGATCACTGGCAGGGCGGAGCTGTTTATTGCCTGCACCTTGTTCTTGCCATTGAGCTGCTTCTTAGGACTTGCCTCACTCGTTGCAGGTATTTGGCCATAGCCACTTTCCTTGTTGCCTCTTCAAGGTTACCATTTTCTTGTGGGATACCAAGGTACTTGTAATTGTCCTCAACGTTTGCTATTGTTCCCTGTGGGAGACCCCCTCTGTGTGGACTGGATCTTCTTGTTCAACAGCAGCTAATGTTTATTAAACAAATATATGAAGTAAGTGCATGTGTGATTAGCTTCATTTAGTTTTCTCTATATAAATGAAGTCATGATAGCAGCAAATTGGTCCTAGTGAAGACCCAGGATCCAGGTCCACGGTTCACCACTGCCAAGTACAAAGGCAACTACAGAACTGCACACCAAATACTAAAGATTTAGCCTGTACCTACATGTGACAGTGCAGCAGCCAGTGCCAGAATGATGATGATTCCCAAGCTATGTTGTATGCATAGACTGTATAAAAGAAGTGGACTAAGCGAGTGTGACCCATAGCGTTCAGTGCCACACAAATGAGGCTTGTGATGCTCAAGGTTACAGGAGCGAATCTGGAGCTACACTCTATATTATGAATAGGATTGTTTTTACGGACAAAATAGAGAAAAAAATCAGGATCATGTAGAGAGGGTTAATACAAACATTTTAAGACCAAAATGGCGAGGCTCACAGCAGCAGATACAGAGAGAGGAGCCACAAGTGAGAAAGAGCCAAAAGAGCCTCCTGGAGAACTTCCTATTCGGCACCCGGCAGCTAGAGCGTTAACTCTGTCCACTCATATATATGGTCTATAGTTGTATGAAAGTGATGATGATAATGATGACGTATAGAAAATGTCTATTTGATGTATTTGAAAATGTCTAAGGTTGCGTAATCATATTGTGGTCTAAATGTGTATGTTGACATTCAACATCCAAATTTTATGTTAGCTACTTTTAAACTCTTTGAGTTATCTGACCAACTGCATGCGATGTTTATAGTTTGTTTTACCCCATATTGTTGAAATATTTCAACAGGATAAAAAAAAAATGAAATTTTTTTGGAAGAACATGGAGTATTACACGTGAATATTATAATGAAATTGCAAGAAAACAACCAAACCAGGTCATTTTTTACCCACTTATGCATCTAAGGGTTAATGTGGGTAAGTCTTATAGCTTTGTAACGAGCACCATTTGATTCCCTGACCCTGAAAATGTGGGTTTAGCAGTTAAAATCAACATTTCAGAGGCTGAGATATTTCAAAAAGAGTTTTTTGGTGGCCATTTAAAAAAAAAAATCAATATGACCACCATATAGACATCTGGGCAAATGCAAACATTGATTTTCTGACTCTACACACAATAAACTTTCCAAAAATATACAGTTTAGCAAATCCCCCAAAAATTCCCACAAAAGTATATAGTGAACTGGACTATTAAGATTCAAACAATCCAAAATTGCAAAAACCTGAAAAGGTTTACAGCATGTCAAGAGAGCTTTATTTTACTATTAAACATACCAACATAACATTTGCTGAATCGGACATCGATTTTACATATGGCTTCAACACATCATAATGGAAACCTGGGGTTAGCAGTCGTCTGTGGCGAAACCACTTCTCTCCATGTGACACCAATAAACCATCTCCTGCAGAGAACCATTTTATGTCACACCTTATATACACACCTTTTCATACTATAGAAAATAGGAGTAAAAAAAAGCCTCACCAATCCATTCTTTAATAAATCTATAAGCTAAATCATCTTTTGGCTCTGTGTGAAAAGAGAAGAGAAACTATTACAGCTTGGGCAATAAAAGGTAACAGTATGTTGGTTTATAATAGAGCCCTGAACTCAAGCGGGCCGGTCTTCTCGTGGGACCCGTGGGACCCAACACAAAGCAGTGCGGTGCAGGACACATTTTGAAAGCTCATTGTGGGCGCGGGCGGGAGTGGGACTATACAACATGGGAATGGGCGGGTGGAATGATAGACTGCAGTCCCACAAATTAAATATGAGTGTAAAGTAACATATATAACTGATGAATGTATGTCTATCACACATAATTTGTGCTGGATATTTAATAAAAACATTTTAAGCAGCTTAAATTTGCGTAGCCTATGTGGTCTAATTTCACACACATTTTAGACAACTCCTTTCCACTTCTCCGTGTTTGATAGAGCCTAAGAATGCGAACGTCCCCATCTTGTGGGACTTGCGGGTGGGAGCAGGACAAAATATCACAGATGGGGGTGGGAGCGGGACTGAAAATTACAATTCCTTGCGGGAACAAGTGGTAGCGGGACTGCACGGTGCAGATACGGGCAAGAGTGGGACTGAAAATTCAGTCCTGCGCAGACCTCTAGTTTATAAGTCATTTCCAACATAAGTCATCCTGACTCACCTGTTGATGCTAGAATAGTCTTTACATAATCAGGATGATGAATGTTGAGCAGACAAACAAAAGGACCAAACCACGTTGCGAATGCATAAGGGTAATTTTTACCCCATTCTTGCATTGTGTCCAGGCTTGTGCCATCTTGCTTTAACTGCAAAACAGAAGAGCAATATTTATGCAAATCAAGTCGCATTTCAGTTCCCCGCATTATTTAGTCAACCCTCAATCACGCTTAGTGCTGGTTGTGAACAACTTCACAGCTGCCCTGAATGACCAGTGCCAGTGTGCACTCTGCATCTTCATCCCCTCTAACCAGGTCAAAAGACCACCACCTATCAATTAAACTGCGCCACATGCAGCTCAACAGTGCATATACATGCGCTTGAATATCCTGGTTATGGTCTGATCCTGATTATGTGTGTCCATGTAGACAAAGTATCCTGATTTCAATATCTTGAATTCACCAGTATCCTGGTTATGAGAAACCAGGATACTCTTTTTTTTTTTTTTTTTTTTTTTTTTTTTTTGAGAGTATTCAGGATACTGTGCATTTAAACGCAGTATCCTAATTTCTCAAAACTGGTGCTGTACTGAGCATGTGTGAACTGAAGTAACAAAAACGGCAGGAGCAGTCACTTTCCCACAACGACTCAAACTCCTACTAGGACTTTTTAACTAATAGTATTCTACACTTATAAACGAAATAAAGCAGTGTACTGTTTAATACAAACACCTTTTAAACGCAGGCTGCCCTCTGTGGCTGTCTGTGTTGTTTGACCTTAATTGACGCTGTGAGGCTCTGTTGTATTTTTCATCTGTTAAATTCGACTTTTACTGAAGCTGACAGTGCTCCACTGTCTCATGTACTTACTTGAATTTATGTCTTCTTTTTATTGTTAGAAACCTCTTTAAAAGCCTTAAGTGAGCAAAGTTGCTACATGTTTAGCTCCCTGCCATTTCTGTACCACAGTTACCATAGCAACCACTCTAAAAACCCAGGATACTCTAACGGCGCATGTACACAGGGATTTCTCTGAGCGCATGTAGACGCGGAGGGGCTAAGCAGCTACATAACTAATATCCATAAGGCCATTGTTTTAAGTCCAAAAAGGCCGTTTAAAACACAAGGTTGTGCGCAATGTTAGGCTACATGTAACTACAGTTTCCAAAGTTTCAGAAACATATTTTAAATAAGCCTACAATAGGTATTTGTGGTCATCGTTACCACGTAGCTGTTATTTATCTGATAAATCACTATTTGACTACGAATATTTTTTCGGAACAGCTATGAGATAAATTTATTGGAAATTTAATTTCGGACCTACTTGAGCTACTTGTGTCGCCTGGAGGTCATCAGTGTTATAGGTTGCCTATATTGAACAACACTAATAGGAAAGTAAAGAATTGCATTAAGCATAGTGATGCAGACTAAAATAATAATAAAGGTATGAAGCCTACCTCAAGGACGTTTCCAAAAAGCCAGTGTGGCGGTGGTCCAGGGAATGGTTCCATTTTTTTAAAAGTATTTCTCCTTCGTATAACCAAGACAGTTAACTTGAAAAGCATCGCAACAAAACATAGCAGTGCAAACAAGTGAGAGAAACTGTATTCCACCTGAAATTCCCTTAAAAAGCCCAACAGCACCGCCATTGTGACTGTAGACTACTTCGTTACTCCGCAGTAAATAGATCTTGGGTTTGGTTTGCTGATCACCCTGTGGGGCTAGGGGGAGGGGCGTGCGCCACCGATGCAGGCTTGTGAACAGGGCGTCATGGTGGCGAGAGACTTTTTGTTTTGCACGCGGAAAAGTTGTTTACGTGGGCGGAGTGCAACTTGATCTAATAGTACGCCAACGACACTTCGGCTCATGTGGCTCTTTTGAGGTGTATGTAGCGTACCTTTGGCGAGTCCACCTGCTTCTCCATCCTGCTTCATGCTTCTCCATTCAGTGTGTTCTCTTAGAACACAAGCAGGTGTCACCACACCGGTACGCGGACAACAAGCTGTTCTACCTTATGCACGTAGAAGTCACACTGAAATAATAGAATCGAGACTCAAACCATCACTTAAAGTACAGAGCCCGCCTAATGACTTGCGCAAAAAAAAAAAAAGTAAATAAATATAAATCGTGGTCTCAAATTAGCCTACTATTTCGTTCCCACAATATGTAATTCGTTCTCACGTTTTAGCTAACTCGTCCCATCTTTTAGCTAACTTGGTCGCATGTATTAGCAATTTCATTCCCACATTTTAACTATGTCGGTCTCACATTTTAACTAAATTGTTAGCCAACTTGTACCCACAAGTTAAGAAATTGCCGTCAGATTGCTAATGCAAGTCTGACAGTGGCGCGTAAGTTGACCCCATGATGACATGGGGAATCTCGAGAGCTTTCAAAAAACATATAATATGCTGTTCCCATGTTAACGTACTGTTCTTGCTAAAAAGCAAACATTTGTATTTATTTGTTTATTAGGCCTGAGACCCTACAGGGCGTAGGGTCTATTATTTTCACAACATTAGGTGTAGGGCCAACAGCTTTCGCAAGTCCATGCGCTCATCATTGCGCCCATTGACTCATCATTGAGTCAGTGGGCTTCAGCCTCTGATCGTGTAAGCCCTTGTCATTCACCACTGAACCCACGATGACGTGGGGAATCTCAATAACTTTCAAAAAACATACTATTCCCATGTTAAAGGATATGTTGTTTTTGCTAAAATTATTAGGCCCCTACAGACCATAGCGCCTATTGCTTTCGTAATGTCCATGCCCATGCATTCAGCCCATGCACTCATCACTGTCAACTGTCATCCCTCGGTCGCCCCCTGCATGAACAGCAGTATCCTAGCAACATGTTTGTTATTGCTAACAAGTACTGGCTAACATTGAGTCAATGGGCTAAGTGTGTTTGGGTAGTCCCCCAAACACACTCCTGACATCAAGCTGTATCCAAACCCCAAAGTGATTCACCCCACGGTGACGTTTTCTTCTTTCTTCAGCTCTTTGAGCGCTAATTTGACCCCCTAAACACGTAAAAAAAAAAAATTCTGCCCAAAATTCAGGTGTGTCGAAAACTTTTATAAAATATATATTGCATGTGTAACCCGGATAAAAAACAAAAAAAACAAATCCATGTGTTAAAAGTACATTTGCAAAAGCATATTTCATAGTTATTAATGTTTTTTAAAAAGACAATTCGTTTTATTTTATTATTCATTCATTAAAATATATAGTTCATGTTATGGTTAAAACCATATTTGCTAAAACTAAAAAGAGATAAGAAATATTAATATTTTATTTTACAAAACTGTACAAGTGGTAAAGTGGTTTTCCTATTCTAATATAGTCTGGAAAGTGACGTGAGTTCTCGTGAGAAGACGCACGGAGAGAGAGAGGGAGAGATCCGACGGAGATGCCCGCGGAGATGCCCGAAAAACAGCTACAGCTAAAGGTGTCTCGTGTTTTTTGCTGTTTTGGTTTGTTTTGTTCTCAGCGGTGCGCAACACTGAGATTATTTCTTTTTACGGACAGTCGGTTTGAGTCTGGATTAAAAGGACATTTATTAGAGCAGACTTGTGATGTGAGGAGGAGCCTGTGAGCGGTGAGTGTTGGAAATACACCAACTTTGAAGCTAGTTTTCGCTATTTGTTATTAGCGATTAGCTGCTGTAGCTCCCGCACATAAACAGACTGTTTTCTATTGGCCTATTGTAAAGTGACTATATTGGCCGTATATTTGTTACTGGACCAGCATTGATATGTAAATGAGCTGTGAATAAACGTGTGAATGATCCACATTTATGCATATAATTAATTACTGCGGCGCGCACGTTTTTAGGGCTAAAGGCTAATAGCGGTAGTTTATTTACTATTTAGGAGTTATGGGTCGGTCGCGATAGAAGCAGCTCTTAGAGCCGGCTCTTTGAAGCGAACAACGGGAGCATGTTTCTTATTGGGAGCCGTGTTTTCTCTTTTTCTCACTTTTTCTCTTCAAGCCGCTTGTAGACCCGTAGTTTGACAGCAGCAGCAGCTGAAAACGAAACTTTCAGAAATCTGCGTGTGCATAGGATAAAAAAAAAAAAAAGTGCATATTTGGCTGCAGTTCAGCATAAAATGAATAAACCAGGACTAATCTTGGGCTCGAGTGAGGGAGAGACCGAGTCCCGACACTCAGTCCTGGTTCAGTTCTGGTTTAGTCCTGTTTTACACATGCTTTAAATCTGTTTTAGTCCCGGTTTACTCCTTTTTCAGTCCTGGTTCAGTTTTGGTTTAGTCCTGTTTGCAGCAAAACAATCTCAAGAGTCGCTTGGGAGCCGAAAGAGCCAGCTGCTTTAGTGAGCCAAGCCAAAAGAGCGGGTTCTCCAAAAAAAAAAACTGGAATATCCATCAGTAGTAGCTAGAATGTGATGCAAAAATGCCATTAGGCCAATCTACTGTCTGTAAATATGACGTAAAGAGTCAGAATAACAATAAATGTTGCCTAAATAAACCCAATTTAGAATCCACTAGAACCAAACCTAAGTTTTTTAAACAATTCAAGAATGTGAATTTTTACATCACTAAATATATCGGTGATTATATCGGCTATCGGCAGCTCCAACTCCCATTATATCGGTTTCATATCGGCCACAACAAAATCCATATCGGTCGGGCTTTAACTACTACCATGGCCAAGAGCAAAGAGCTGTCCAAAGACACCAAAGACAAAATTGTACACCTCCACAAGGCTGGAAAGGGCTTCGGGGAAATTGCCAAGCAGCTAGGTGAAAAAAGGTCCACTGTTGGAGCAATCATTAGAAAACGGAAGAAGCTAAACATAACTGTCAATCTCCCTCGGACTGGGGCTACATGCAAGATCTCACCTCGTGGGGTCTCAATGATCCTAAGAAAGGTGAGGAATCAGCCCAGAACTACACGGGAGGAGCTGGTCAGTGACCTGAAAAGAGCTGAGACCAACGCTTCCAAGGTTACTGTTAATAATACACTAAGTCATGGTTTGAAATCATGCATGGCATGTAAGGTTCCCCTGCTTAAACCAGCACATGTCAAGGCCCGTCTTATGTTTGCCAATGACCGATAGCGCCCCCTACAGAACATTACAATATTTTGCATGAAGGGCCAAAATTTTAGTTGCCGGTGTATCAATGGGTGGAAGCGGGGTGGAGGCAAGCCCCCCAGGTTCCAAAATGGCCGCCCATTCAAGTCAATGGGCCGAGCTAAATGGTGCATGATCCCAGATTAGCCTAGCCCGGCTAGGTATTTCCGGTGGCTGTGGGCCGACTGAGCATGCGCAGTAGTGCTCTTTTCTCCCACGGGCACACCGAATGCAGATGACCGCACGAACGGAGCGCGGGCTCGTGTATCACGTGATCGCTTTGACCAATCAGAGCGAGAGAAGCGGTGTGGAGAAGTGGAGCAGAGTGGAGCCGAAGCTAACGAATTTAAAGTGTTTTTTAAGACAAGTGAATGATTTTGAGCTGAGAAAAAATTTATGATCCAAAAATAGGTAAAAAATTGCCAACTAATTTTTGAAAGCTGTAGGTGATCTGTCAGACAAACACGAGCAGTTTGTGATTACATTGCGCTCTAAGAGAAAAATCTTGTCTCGGCCCATGGGACTTTTTCTGCTGAAGTTCCAGTGAGTGACCACTACGTCAACTGGAGGCAGCTACAAACTAGCAATACTGTATCCAGTTATTTCAATAGATCCATGGGTGGAGGCGAGGCGGAGGCGGTGGAGGGGGGCGGGTGCTAATCGCTTTCTGCTACATCAAACGCGTCATAGGTGTAGCTGGCTGCGTCATTGTTGTAGCAGGCTTTAGTTCGTTGTCATGTGGGAGGATGGCAGAAATACGCTGCAATTTGTAAAAAAAAAAAAACCCAAAAAAAACCCGCCAAATCAATCTAAAAACACTTCGGCAACATATACAAGGCCCACACATCACTCTTAGAAGGTAGAAAGCTCTGAAAAGTTTAATTTGTTTGTTGACCGGTTCTGCAGCAGTGTGTGGTTCTGCTAACGCGTCACGGCAAGCAGACTCCTCCAGAGCCGGGCTTAAACGCCAAGTTCTGGTTTCCACAGTCATGTCGCAAATTGCGGCTTGACTAGCACTGCATTTATTCTGTTTATTCTCTCTGTGTCAGGCACTATGTCGACATCCACCCTCTGGGGTCGGATCTGAAGTCCAAGGAGGCTTCATCCCGCCAATGCCCCAAGTCATGCGGCCCGCCATATCGGGCAAGGACCCTCATCCGATGTTCATAGCTTGCATGGGGGCAAAACACGCTCAGATGGCACTGGCGGACTGCCAGTCCAGCTCCAATTGTGCATCGATGCCAGAGAAAATATTGGAGAGGAGACTCAGAATGGCGGTGGCTAACTCCCAGGACCCATGCCTGATGGAGGCCACCCCTAAATCCACAGCCACCACCCAGGCCACACAAGCTACTATGAGCTGGGCAGACATCTTGGCTGATAATGCCACTGATATGCCTCCATTGTTTGAGGACCTCCTTGACATGGACCCAGGCAATGAGGACGCAGAGGGCGATGACACTGCTGCTGACGCTGACTTCCTTGAGGTTGTGGATATGGAAGACACATTTCCACATTTCCATCGGCCCAGTCCCAAGCCCCCAGTGTGTCCGGTGCTACCTCACCTGTGG